TAGCAGAAAATAAAGAACTGCAGAAATCATATTACATAATTCCTAACTTCCTTTTAATATTGCTGCTCACTCAATTGATCAGCTCATCATATTCAATACAGGAATCCAAATTACAGTCACCCCGACATAGAAAAAAAACCTTCTCAGTTGTTTCCTTCTGTTGTAAACATGACAGAAATAGGAAAAGACAAATAAAATGCAACTCTTAGTTTAAATATCAGAACATTAACTCTATGAAATTAATAAATCTAATCTCTTTGCCTCAGCAAAAAATCTGCAAAAGTGTTTTGGCAGATACAGAAGAAATGTCAATAATATTGCAATGATTGCATTATATCACGATAAATAATATGAATAATAAGACTTTTGTCTTAAAATTTTGTTTACAAACTGGAAAATTAAGATACACTGCATTAATTCTGTTCATATGTTGTATGTTTTAAATTCATTAATATATAATATTGTAATTCAAAGTGGTCAATCAGATTTTAATGATGTGTTTATACAATCAAAGCCGAGCTCAATTTATTTCCACTATAAGTAACTTCAGAAGAAGCCATTTTCTGTCCAGCCAAAGTGATGTTCTTGTAAATCCTCTGAACTCAAAGACAGTGTTCTTTGAATGCTTAAGTATATGTCAGCAGTTAAACATTTTAATTAATTGGTCTTATTTTGTATGGAAGAACAAATTGTCACTATTGACATTTGTTATTTCTGAAAATCAAGATTTGATATGCTTCCTGAGGGAGTTTATTTTAACCTAGATTTTTGAGATTTCATGAAGGAATCACAAGGAAAGCTATGATTGTTTTAATAATAAATGTAACATTGCTTTAATTTCAAAAACTGGTAGTTCTGTCAATAGCAATTTAATGTATAAATGCCTTAAGGACTCTTTCTTTTTTCTTCTCTCTTGCTCTTTTTGTCTCTTTCTCTCTGGTTAATCATAACTTTGACAATGTATAATCTGATGGTGCTTTTGAAATAAACAGTATTCTATGTAATTTATTTAACTATCATCTACTAAATAAAGTATAGTAGTTATATGCAAATAATATAGACTATAAAAAATAAATAACTCCACCTGGGACAACTGAGTTTTGAGGTAACCGAGCCAGTCCCAAGTCCGGATAAAGTGAGGAGGGTTGGGTGTAGGGTTAGCACTCCTACCCATAAAAAAAAACTAAAAATTGCTAAAGAAACTGCAAGCAAACTTAAAGTCTATAGTGATCATAGCAACTGTAATGAACATGATAATCAAAATAATCAACAACAGCATGAAATGTTAAACCATGGCATGATGGCATTGGGATAAAGCTGAAAGGACATACAATGGTTGATTGTAGATTGATACTTAGTGCAAAATTTATAACACAAATTGTAACATGGAAAGTTCAATCTTTATATCAATGTGGGAAACTCTCATAAGTGCTATGCAAATTTAACAACTATGATCTTCATATTTCGAGAATTAGCAATACCAGGTGGACTGGGAGTGGTAGACTTACCAAAGATGGGAAGATTTCTTGCCATAGTTGTTAAGGAAATCAATGCAATTAAGTTAGTAACATGGTTCCCTGTTGACTTTGCTTGTCAGAAGGTCACAAAAAGTGATCACATGTTCCTGGGAAACTGCAACCATCATAAATATGAACCAGTTGCTAAATGTCTGAATTTTGATCATGTGGAAAAACAGTCATAAGTCACTTTTTTCAGTGCCATTGTAACTTCGAATAATCACTAAATTAATGGTCGTAAGTTGAGAACTATCTCTACTCAGTGGCAACTTCCAGCTTCCAACTTGTGCTATTTCTCTCCAAATTAATTTGTAAAAGCAAACCTGCCTCCCAAATCATAAATGCACAAGTAGGGTTCATTCACATTGTGATAAGCCCTGGAATAAGTAGGGATGTTATACCTGGATTGTGAAACTCTAGATCAGTGTTTCTCAACCTTAGCAATTTTAAGGTGTGTAGTTATAGGCAGATGCATCCTTTTGATGCAGACTTTAAAGCATTGCACAGTCCTATTAAATTTGTGACTAGGAAATAATTATATTCATTATAACAATTTTAATTAAAGAACATGAACTCAAAGCAGATTAGTATACCCAATAATTTTTAGAGTATGACCTGATACACATCAGTCCACGTGCAGCTCTTGACCCAAAACAAGTGAGCTAAAAGTTGTAAAGCTAAGGCTATAGTCATATTAGCATAACATTAATCCATTCTTGAAATCAGCTTTTCTATATCTGAGTCCATTCTCTCCTTTTCCATTGTAACTCTTATTAGGCATGAGGTGATTTTTTATTTGCATACAGTGTAAGCATATTTCCATATAATACATTTATCTATGGTTAGTCCGAATTAAAGGATTATAAAATAGTAATTTAACCAATGCCGTAAGCCTGCATAACACAGTGCATTAACTAATTTACTCAGTATAGTGAGCTAAATAGTAATTGGCTAGTGTGTACTTTAGTGCATCATGCAAACACAACTTTAGTTGTACTATATGAGGGTTTACAGTGAAAGTAATACGGTGGATTTCCCAAACCAAAAAAACAAAAACAAAAATTCTCTGGTATTTACATCAACGTATGTTATTTGCGTGATTAAGTAACTTGTGCTAGGAAGGTGCTGCAGATGACTTACTCTTTGATTTAAAGGGGCAATTGGGAATAAAAGACACACTTCCCTCCAACCAGGTTATTAAACTATGGTTACATAAATACAACAACAAATACATTCTTCCCAACTACAGAGAGTACAGTATCTGTTTGTAGCCCAAACCTGTCTCCTCAGTTTGGCCAGCCACAAACTAGTCAAGAAGATTTTAGTTTACTCTTATGCAAACTCAGCAATTCAAATCCAGCAAATGGATGTCATTCAGTGGATATTACATTATTCTGTTGCATTAGGTACAGCTCAATAAGTTCCCTTTCTGTTGAATGCAGGTCAAAAAAAGTCCCTATGTCCTCCTTTATTGAACTACAATAATATTTTTCAAACTTGTCAATTTCTAAGATGTGTGGATTTCAACTCCCAGAATTCCTCAGCCAGCAAGTTTGAAAACACTACAATGTCCACAAGTCATCCCTATCAGGTCTCTGGGATCTGTAATCCAAGATGTCTGGAGCACTTGGGTGAGTGGGGACAAAGGGGGAAGACCAGGGGTGGGTTCTACTTACCTTTACTACCGGTTCACAACGGGCCTGTGATGATGTCAGGGTCAGTGGGCGGAGCCTCCCACCGCTTTTACTACCGGGGGCAACCCACCACTGAGGGACACTAACTCAAATCAAACATGCTTATACAGGCTTGCAGCAGGCAGCTCTTGCATTACGCAGTACTCTGACAGAGCAAGGGCCAATTCAGCCACCTTCTCAATGATTGGTATGGAGAATCATGATGGAGGCAGAAAATAATGATTTTTTTAAAACTATTTCTTTATTATTAGTTCCAAATTTGTAGTAGTATATTTTATAATGATGAAGTTTCACTTCCAAAACAGTACCTTAAGTTTTCATCAGAAACACAGGATTCACTCTTTGACCTAGCACTGTGATGGTGAACCTGTGGCACGCGTGCCAGAGGTAGCATGCAGAGCTCTTTCTGTGGGCACCCACGCCACTGCCAGCTGCTCTTCTGGTTTCCAGGGTGCATGGTCTTCACAGGTGTTGGAGTGCTGGAAAACTGCTGGAAAACGGCCCAAAAAGTGCTCCCATAACAAGCCGTGCACCGGAGTGTCGGAAATCCGAAGACCAGCTGGCTGGCGCGCACATACCTGTTTTTTGCCCATTTTCAAGGCTGTTTTCCGGGCGGTTTTTGGCTGTTTTTTGGGAAATGGCCCCAAAACGGGTCTTTGGATTTCTGACACTCCGGCGCATGTGCACACATACACATACAAGCATACATGTTCTGGTTTGGGCACTCGGTGCCGAAAAGGTTCACTATCACTGATCTAGTATATAGTTCCCAGGTGGTGAGGCACTACCAACCAGAATACAAAAACATTTTCCTCTCTAGTAATATCCTTTTCCCTTCTTCCACCTTATTGCTACTGCTGGTATCAGCAATTCTCCTAGCAGAATTCACTAAAAGGCTATCTGCTTCTCCCATTAGAAAACCCCTGTCAGTTTCCCCACCAAGAGGCTGTTCCAAAAGGACAGAGGCAGCGATGGCCACTGTGCATGTAAGGATCCAGCAGAGATTAATGGGGGTGGCAGTTTAGGAGAGCTATGTGACTTCAGGCCAGTCTCTCTTTCTCTCAGCCCAGCCCATTTCACAGGATGGGAGGGGAAATAGGAAATACCACCTTGAGCCGACCTTTATTTATATCTGCCTTTAATTTATAAAGAACAAGGTGATGAACATACCTAATATTACACACACACACATTGACTAATACATAAATATAAATCAATATATAAGGGTCTGGGCATATACATTTATTTTATACACATGTGTACATGCACACACAAACATCTGTATCTATGTCTGTCTGTCTGTCTATGTTGTTTCATATATATGTGTGTGTGTGTATTAAAAATGAGGGAGATGTGCGGTTAAATAGTTGAACAAATAAATACATATTTGCAAACATTTACATTCTCTCTCTCTCTCTCATCTCTATGATGTCTCTGTATATGGTGTGTATGTATATGTGACAAAATCTAATCCTCATTTTGGCCGTCTGCGCCCGAAGTCTCTGAGAGGAGCCAAAAGGCGGACCGTCTCTCCCTCTACAGGTGGAGTAAAAAGGCTCCGTCTCTTTGCTCTCATCCAGCGGCGCCCGCAGTTGCGCAATCCAAATCCGCCGCCCTCCCTCATAAACCGCCCCCCCACTTTCTCCCTCCCGCATCTTTTCGCAGTTTGGTGGGCGGAAGTTTCCGGGAGGAGAGAGAGAGAGAAAAAAAAACGAGAGCCAAGGCCCGGTTGCAATCGTCCAATCAGCATCAATCCAGGAGAGATGACATCACAAACGGAATAACGTCACTGTCCGTTTCCGGGCTGCGGTGATAGAGGCCCGTCCTCGTGTGTCGGAGCGTCGACTCGTTTTCTGCTTTTTCCTCCTGTTTTTTTTTTGCCGGTCCTTTGACGGTTATGGCGGTCCGGGCGAGCTTCGAGAACAACAATGAGATCGGCTGCTTCGCGAAGCTCACCAACGCCTACTGCCTGGTGGCCATTGGAGGCTCCGAGGGCTTCTACAGGTCATTATAGAGACTCTCGACCTCTTTTCTCTTCTTCCCCTCCGGGTCTTAGCCGGGATTTGCTTTGATTATCCGATAATAATCAATAAATTCAAACAAGAATAAGTGGGAAAGGCTGTAAGGGTCTTCCTTTGTACCGAAAGAGCACGATTGGGCCTCCCCCCCCCTCCCGCTTCTGTGATTATTACTTTCAGCGTCTTTTGAGACAGGTTGGGTTGGGCAAAACCAAGCAGACAAAAATGGCCCAGTGACACCCGTGGGTGAGAGGAGATTCCGATGTGGGACTCTCCAACCTCCCTCCAGTATTGAGGGCTATATCAGGGATCAGCACAGGTGATCAGCTCTTTTATTTGAGCTATACAGGTAGTCCTCAACTTACGGCCACAATCGAACCCAAAATTTCCGTGATTAAATGGGAAATTTGTTAAGTGGGTTTTGGCCTACTTTACAACTTTTCTTGCCACCTTTGTTAAGTGAATCACTGCCGTTGTTATATGAGTAACACGGTTGTTAAGCGAATCTGGTTTCCTCACATTGACTTTGCTTGTCAGAAGATCACTAAAGGTCACATGACTCCAGGACACTGCAACTGTCATAAGTGTGAGTCAGTTGTCAAGCATTTGAATTTAAATCACATGACCAATGGTCATAAGTATGAAAAATCGTTATGTCACTTTTTCCAGTACCGTTGTAACTTTGAACCATCACTAAATGAATTGTTGTAAGTCGAGGACTACCTGTACTGAATAGGTTAGGTCACAAGATGCCAGTGAGACTACTACTCTGCATATTGTTCCTTTATTAAACTTTTTGAAAATGTAGCCTTTGAAGTTTCCTTGCATGTTTAAATCTTATTCTATTGTATTTTAGTGTGTTCGAAGGAGAGCTTTCTGACACTATTCCTGTAATTCATGCTTCTATTGCTGGATGTCGAATCATTGGCAGAATGTGTGTGGGTGAGGTGCTTTTTTCATATAAATTATTTTGAGTTTCCCTTAAAATGCAGAATTCTCATCCCTTAATATATTGTGACAAGCAGTTTGACTATGTAGTTTGTAATATTTCAGAAAAGGAACACAAGCTGCTATTGCACCCTTCATTTATAAAGCCTAAATCAGGGGTGAAATGCAAAATTTGTTTCTACCGGTTCTGTGGGCGTGGCTTGGGGGGGTAATGTGATGGTGGGCGTGGCCAACTTTTTTTTTTTTAACTTTTCAAAGCATTTTTTTACCACCTCTTCGGCCAAGAGGTTGCAGGAAAAAATGCTTTGAAAAGCCTCTGACTATCCCAGCTGAGCCGCGCGATCATCAGAGGCTTTTTTTTTTTTTACTTTTAAAAGCATTTTTTTGTCGGAAGAGGTTGTAGAAAAAATGCTTTTAAAAGTAAAAAAAAAAAAAAAAAGCCTCTGATGATCCTGCAGCTCAGCTGGGCATGGTGGTGGGTGGGGGGGCGCAGGGATTTTTGCTACCGGTTCTCCGAACCACCCGCCGCCATCGCTACTGGATCAGGCGATCCGGTCCGAACCGGGAGCATTTCAACCCTGGCCTAAACGTACTGTTTATTTATTTATTTTATTTATTTATTAATCCAATTTCTATACCGCCCTACTCCCGAAGGACTCAGGGCGGTGAACAGCCAAGATAAAATACAGATAATACAAATATTTAAAAAATCCCTTAAAATTATTAAATATTTTGGCCGAAACATAGATTAAAACACCCAATTTATAAAATCATACGAATTAAAAATTTAAAAGAGGAGAGTTAGGCCAGGCCAGCCTGCTGAAATAAAAAAGTTTTGAGAGCACGACGAAACGTGCGCAGGTCCGGGATCTTCCGTATCTCTGGGGGGAGCTCGTTCCAGATGGTAGGTGCCCCCACAGAGAAGGCTCTCCCCCTGGGGGCCGCCAGTTGACACTGTTTGGCCGACGGCACCCTGAGAAGCCCTTCTCTATGGGAGCGTACTGGTCGGTGAGAGGCTATTGGTAGCAGAAGGCGGTCTCGTAAATACCCCGGTCCGATGCCATGGAGCGCTCTAAAGGTGGTAACCAAAACCTTGAAGCGCACACGGAAGACCACCGGGAGCCAGTGCAGCTCGCGCAGGAGGGGGGTCACATGGGAGCGCCACGTTGCTCCCATAACCACCCGCACGGCCGCATTCTGGACCAGCTGGAGCCTCCAGGTGCTCCTCAAGGGGAGCCCCATGTAGAGAGCATTGCAGTAGTCCAGGCGGGAAGTAACAAGAGCATGAGTGACCGTATTGAACGAGTCCCGATCCAGAAAGGGACGCAACTGGCGAATCAGGTGGACCTGATAAAAAGTTCCCCTGGCCACGGCCGTCATGTGCTCTTCCAAAGACAGCCGTGAGTCCAGGAGGACACCCAAGTTGCGAACCCTCTCCGAGGGGCCAATGACTCGCCCCGAATAGTCAGTGATGGCACCAACTGACTATATCGGGATGTCGGAAACCACAGCCACTCGGTCTTGGATGAGTTGAGCCTGAGTCTGTTTCTCCCCATCCAGATCCGCACTTCCGGGGTGGACCACAGAACTCAACTACTGTTGAGTTCAGCGCATGTTTATCCCAATAGCTTGAATGAGATCATTAGAAAAAGTTTAAAGGTTAAATGTTTTTGTTTACCATTAGAAATTATACAAGCTCTGGAATTGAAATATTAACATTAATATGGGATTGTATTCAACAATCTTTTTATGTTAAGGGGGGGTGTCTATTCATATATCTACGGGTTCTCATTGCATCAATTACTACAGTTTCTGGGAAGATGGAAAAACTTATCATCTAAGTGCCTACAGAGACTAAATAGGGAGGATGGGATGGATGTTCTCATCACTGTCTTATTTATTTTCAAAATCTTATATTAATCTATTGTAAGAGGTACTAATAGAAATGTGTTTTATAATATAAAACTGATTAATCATCTTTATTTAAATTTATTATGGTTGCCCACTCCCATTTACTATCTGTTGTTGAGCTATAATACTTGTCAGCTTTGGAAGCCATATTAGGCCAGAAGCTTCCAAGCTGCCACCTTTTCATGTGTGGGAAAGTAGAAGGGGGGATTTAATTGAGAGTTTGCATTTAGACAAAATAGCATTCTTCCCCGTCGGTCAAGGTCAGGACAAGCCTGCATCTGGAGAAGGAGGGTTGGAATGCTGTCTCGAGATGGGACACATGGTGATTGGAGCATGTGATCGACTGATGAGTGAGGGGATGGTTTGGGGAGTTTTGATTTACTGAGAGAAAACCTGGAACTCTCAGATTTGGGTTTTCCCAAGATGTGCCAGTATACCTACTCTAATAAATGGAACTTTGAGAAAATGCTTGTCTCAGAGTTTTTAATTGGAGCAGAGGTTTTTCTAGAATGCTGACAATACTTTTATTAAATTCAATTTTATGCCTAACAGTAATAGTGGAATTGAGAGAGGTGATAGGTAAGCAGAATATTGTTCTTTTTAAAAAAATATATGCTTGCATTTGTGCTGCAGATGTATTTTGTTAGAAGACCAATTCTAGCAGTACTTTATTAAAGGTCAGATGCTGTTAAAGAACATTGATTAGATTCATCATGTCCTGAGATATTATTTTATGACATAAAATGTTGGAGATAGGAATTGAAGGCAGTTTTTTTTTTCTATATTGTAGGTAACCGGCATGGTTTACTAGTCCCAAACAATACAACTGACCAGGAACTTCAGCATATGCGAAACTGCCTTCCTGACTCAGTGCGAATCCAGAGGGTGGAAGAACGTCTTTCTGCATTGGGCAATGTCACTGCATGCAATGACTACGTAGCACTTGCCCACCCAGACATTGACAGAGTAAGTATAAAAATAAATCCTAGTACTAAACATTATAGTTGCAGTAACTAAACTTGAACAACAGTTTAATATTTTTTGTTGAGCATTTGCTATATGTCTTTGCTTGACATATTCAGCGACCATTCAAAGTTATGATGGCGCTGAATAAACGATAATTAAGACTGGTCCTCAAGGTTTCAGCATTGCAACACCCCCATGGTCATTTGAAATTTGGGCAGTTGATGACTGTCCCACATTTACAATCTTCGCAGTGTCCCAAGGTCACATTCTTCTGCCCTGTGCAAAACTGCCTTTGCTTCAACTTTCTTTGCTTGCCTTTCTCCCACTATCTTTGTTGTTTGACTGTCCTGCACTATGCCACCTCTCTGTTGCCTCCCATTCCAACTGACCTTTGCTGTGTTCCTTCTGCTGATGGTTTGGATCCAGGTGCTGGGCCCAGATCATGTGCAGCAAGCACAGCAGGGTGGCAGAACTTCCTCTGCAGATGGGAACTTGCCTGGCCCAGTCAGGAGGAAGCAGCAGGACAGAACCAGTAGGGTTCTGCAGAAGAGCTACATTTGCCATAGCACAAGGAGCAATAGCCTGCAGATTGTGCAGAGTGCAGTGGGATGGAATGGCGAGATGCAGCATGTTCTGTTGCTAGGCAAGGCAGCAGAGGCTACGGTTCCCTGGTGAAGGTAGTGGCTGTGTGTGGGTGCCATTTGGGATGGCGACAGAACTGGACAAAGTAGAGGGACAGGGGCTTTCCAGAGGTGCAGTGCGTGCTCTGCAGCTCACATTGGAAGTGCTTCTGAAGACCTTATTGTTCAATAGGCTCTCTGGGTGGGTGCTGGAGCCACTCCTACAGGAGGAAGGGTACATCCAGCTGAGGCAACTACTGGCACTTTGCAAGGCCTTGCAGGAGGCAAGTTTGGACTTGTAGGTAAGCTCTATCAACGTTGGACCCAACTCCACCCTTTGCTGAAGTCTGCAATTATTCTGCTCACTCAGCCTCACTTTTAAAGTGAATGAAGAGGACTAATGTAGTTGAAGTGTCCCACTAGCAGGTGTGAAGGCAAATCCTGCGCATACGCAGTCTCCAAGAAGCTCATAATTATTACCTAACCAGGTAAAACGTTGCTATAAGTTTTATGATACCAGAAAAAAACTTGTAAGAACATGAATAAAAGAATTGGGAAATAAAAAGTGGGAAATGGAAATCTTCTGTCTCTTACCTTTACTGACATGCCCTGTTGGATATTTTCTCAGTCTCTGTATGTGATCATATTTCATGATTATTTGATCTTTGAATTATTATGTATCAGACATCAGGAGTATGCAATCAATACAAAATAGCTGAATGTAAACACATCTGGTGGGCACCCCCAGAATTGCCATCATGGGGGATTTCAACCTGCCATCTATCGGTGAAACGTCTGAGGTGGCTCGAGAGTTCATGGCTTCCATGACGGCCATGGACCTTACTCAGTTAATTCATGACCCCACTCACACAGGAGGACACACTCTGGACCTAGTTTTTGTCTCTGGTCAGTGGTTGAGTGGCCTTGATATAGGGGATATAGCCATCGAACCCTTGTCATGGTCTGACCACTCGCTCCTTCGACTGGACTTTCTAACCGCTGCACCCTGCCGCAGGGAGGCGGGACCGACCAGGTGGTTCCGCCCCAGGCGCCTGATGGACCCTGATAGGTTCCAGATGGAGCTTGGGCCATTTCCTGAGATTCTGGCTCATGACTCGGCTGAAGACCTGGTGGCCGCCTGGGATAGTGCGGCTGCCGGGGCCTTGGACCGAGTCGTGCCTTTGCGGCCTCTGACCCGGCACCGAACTCACCTAGCTCCTTGGTTCTCCGAGGAGCTTAGGGAGATGAAGCGCCGGAAAAGACGCCTGGAGAGTAGTTGGAGGACCAGCCGCTCCGAACCTGACCGAACACTGGTGAGGTCTCATATTAAGACCTACCTAGTGGCGATAAAAGCGGTGAAAACTAGCTATTTTGCCGCTCTTATCGCGTCATCAGATAATCGCCCGGCCGCCCTGTTTAGGGTGACCCGCTCCCTCCTCCATCTGGAGGTGCGGGATGACCCCTTGCAGGGTCGAGCTGAGGATTTTGTGCAGTATCTGTATGACAAAATCGCTCAGATTCGGGAAGGGCTGGCCTCTGACTGGGTATGTCCAGACGGGATGACTGAGGCAGGTCTTGAGAGTGTTATCTGGGGGGAGTTTGATCCTGTGGCTCCCGAGGACATGGACAGGGTCCTGGGACGGCTGAACGCGACCACATGTTTATTGGACCCGTGTCCCTCCTGGTTGGTACTGGCTTCCCGGGAGGTGACACGAGGCTGGCTCCAGAAGATTGTTAACGCTTCTTTGAGTGAGGGGGTCCTGCCGGCCGCTTTGAAAGAAGCGGTGGTGAGGCCCCTCCTCAAGAAGCCTTCTCTGGATCCGGCTGTCTTGGCTAACTATCGTCCAGTCTCCAACCTTCGCTTCATTGCGAAGGTTGTTGAGAGTGTGGTGGCGCAACAGCTTCCCCGGTACCTGGATGAAGCTGTCTATCTAGACCCGCTCCAGTCCGGCTTCCGGCCTGGGCACAGCACGGAAACGGCATTGGTCGCATTGGTGGATGATCTCTGGAGGGCCCGGGATAGGGGTTGCTCCTCTATCCTGGTCCTGTTAGACCTCTCAGCGGCTTTTGATACCATCGACCATGGTATCATGTTGCACCGGTTGGCGGGGTTGGGGGTGGGAGGCACCGTTTTGCGGTGGTTCTCCTCCTACCTCTCTGACCGGTCGCAATCTGTGTTGACAGGGGGGCAGCGGTCGACCCCGAGGCACCTTGCTTGTGGGGTGCCACAAGGGTCGGTCCTCTCGCCCCTTCTGTTCAACATTTATGTAAAGCCGCTGGGTGAGATCATCCGTGGCTTCGGGGTGGAGTTCCATCAGTACGCTGATGACACCCAGCTGTACATCTCCACCCCAGGCCACCCCAATGATGCCCTTAAAGTGATGTCCCAGTGCCTGGAGGCCGTGCGGGCCTGGATGGGGAGAAACAGGCTCCAACTCAACCCCTCCAAGACCGAGTGGCTGTGGCTTCCGGCGTCCCGATATAGCCAGCTGACGCCATCGCTGGCTATTGGAGGCGAATCACTCGCCCCCACGGAGAGGGCTCGTAACTTGGGCGTCCTCCTGGACGCACGGCTGTCGTTAGAAGATCATTTGGCGGCCGTGGCCAGGGGGGCTTTTTATCAGGTTCGCCTGATACGCCAGTTGCGCCCCTTTCTAGATCGGGACTCCCTACGCACAGTCACTCAGGCACTCGTCACTTCCCGCCTGGACTACTGCAATGCTCTCTACATGGGGCTCCCCCTGGGGTGCACCCGGAGGCTCCAGCTGGTCCAGAATGCGGCCGCGCGGGGGATTTTGGGGGCGACGAGGCGCTCCCACGTGACACCTCTCCTGCGCGAGCTGCACTGGCTCCCGGTGGTCTTCCGGGTGCGCTTCAAGGTGTTGGTGACCACCTTTAAAGCGCTCCATGGCTTAGGGCCGGGGTACTTACGAGACCGCCTTCTGCCACCAATAGCCTCCCACCGGCCAGTACGCTCCCACAGAGTGGGCCTCCTCAGGGTGCCGTCCGCCAGACAATGTCGGCTGGCGACCCCCAGGGGGAGAGCCTTCTCTGTGGCGGCGCCCGCCCTCTGGAACAACCTCCCCCCAGAGCTACGTACAATAACAGACCTCCGGATTTTTCGTCGGGCCCTGAAAACCCATTTATTCCAACTAGCTGGGCTGGCTTGAGTCAAATTTTAAATGGATTTTAAACTGGAATGTTTTAATTACGGCCAAAATTATTTAATTATTTTAAACAGTTTTTAGATTTTGTATGTTTGTATGTATGTCTTGTTTTTACTTTGGCTGTTCACCGCCCTGAGTCCTACATTGGAGAAGGGCGGTATAGAAATTTAAACAAATAAATAAATAAATAAATAAATCTGCATATGTAAATACATATGGATGAATCGTTTTATGGAAGGTGGCTTCTTTTTTTAAGAAATCCTTTTTGGAGAAGTGATTATATTCTTTAGATTAGTGACCTTGCTCTTAATTCTCTTGAATACTTGAGCTGGAAGGATGTGGCCGGAAGGTTGTATCCATTGTTAGGTTACTGCAGGGGTGTCAAACTGGCAGACCATGGGCCGGATGCATCATGTGCAGGTCACTCCCAACCCGGCTCCGCAAAGGCAAAAAGCAGCATGATACATCAGTTTGACACTCATGGGTTATTGGAAAAAGTACAGCTGGAAAAAATTGCACAAGTAGACCAACAAGTACAAGCATGACTGATCCTAATAATGGAATAGTTTTCATAAGCAGTATCAAAGTATTTAGTATTTGAGCCAGGGTGAAAATGGATTGTACAATTAATTCAAGTGTGATGATTTTGGGCACAAGTCCTAGAAATAGGACTTATATAATAAATAATAGAATAAAAAATGAAAGTTTGGGAGTTACTTAAATTTCATTTAAGGACTTCCTAGATGTGCCTTTAATGTCAGATGCCCAATATTTATATTTTGACATCCTGTCTTCAGATTGTTATAGCACTTGGCTGGTGCAAAGAACTGAAGAAATGTCAGACTTCGGAATGAATGCAACTTGAAGGATATCGAGCTTCAATATAGTTGTCAGTTGCTGGAACTTTAAAATACTTCATGTTTTAGCAATCTAAAGATAGAAAATCTGTTTGAAATAGGTTTACAAGATTTAGTTGACAGCTAATCAGTGCTGTCACTAAATAAGCATTTCAATTAGTTTTTATGATCACTTAAAATCAGACAAATGTGTTCTAACAACCCTAATTTTATTCCACAGGAGACAGAAGAGATTTTAGCTGATGTATTAAAAGTCGAAGTATTCAGACAGACAATAGCAGACCAAGTACTTGTGGGAAGTTACTGCACATTCAGCAACCAGGGAGGATTGGTACACCCTAAGACATCTATAGAAGATCAGGATGAGCTTTCCTCATTGTTGCAAGTTCCTCTTGTGGTAAATGTTCTTTCTTTTCAAATCTTGGAATGTTCAGTTACTTTAAACTATATTTTGAGCCAAATTATAGAATTTTAACATCTTATGACATGGGAATATACTCATCCACAGTTTCATCCATCTATATGCCACTGTAACTGAGCTGTAACTTAGAGCTGAAGAAACTTCTTGGATGAGAAATGAAAAGTCTTCAAAGAAAAACCAGAAAGTCCAGTTGCCTCTTGAAAAAGTACCTTTGGGACAATCATGACCTGGATGACAGAATCTCCATAGACACTGTAACTCAATGCAGGAGATCTCTTTCTATGGTTTCTAATTGTTTCAATATTTTTCTTCAACTTCTTTTTGGTTTAAATAGTGTTATGTGATCCTCTCAGTATAAAGAAATAGACGGCAAAACAATTATTTCCCAATATGCATAACGTATTGAAGCGTAATCCTAAATGAACCATAAAATTAGGAGCAGTGAAAATTTAGATGAACAATGCCAGTGTGGAGACATTGAGAAATACTTCTGGTATAGTTGTGTTACTTGTATTTAATAGCATATGAGATCATCCATTGGGAATGATGGTAATTGTGGTTCACACATTTTGCTGAGCTATGATTTCTAACCATGATCTATTGAATAAGCTAGAGTGGTTGTGTTCATAACACTAAGCTAGAATGCATGGTTTAGAAAATGGAGAAAACTGCCAATGTTGAACATCAGGAATATCGTGCATGCCTACAAAAGGCCTGGCCCTCTGATCTATTAAATAGTTACAAATAAGGTTTATATTCATGCAATCTTAAGCAAGAAGAGCTGATAATACCCATGAGAAAGAAGTTCTTAAGACACTAGCTATCTTTCTTATCAGGCTGGAACTGTTAATCGTGGCAGTGAGGTGATTGCAGCTGGAATGGTTGTGAATGACTGGTGTGCCTTCTGTGGTCTGGACACAACCAGCACAGAATTATCTGTTATTGAGAGTGTCTTCAAACTTAATGAAGCACAGCCAAGTACCATTGCTACCACCATGAGAGATTCTTTGATTGACAGGTAAGTCAGACATTAATCTACTTTCAAAAATTATTAGCAATTGATAGTAGCCAGAACATAACTATACTAGCAATGGCTTTCTTCAGTCTTATGTTTCTAATATTCTGGAAATCCCAAGGGATTCAGCACTCTGAGAAGATGTATAAGACTACTTTCTCATTAATAATATGTAAATGGGTTTCCCCCTCTTCCACCTGCTTGTATCTGCTCCCAAGAAGAGCACGTAGTGTTTAATCGCTGGTAAAGGCAAAAAACCAATTGGGAAATTGCATTAATATGATATGTCAGGTCAACTGGATAGAAATAGTTCAGCCTTATTATTTATTATTATTATTATTATTATTATTATTATTATTATTATTATTATTATTATTATTATTATTATTATTATTATTATTACAAGTAGTCCTAACTTAATAATCAAAATTGGGATCAACAGTTCTATTGCTAAATGATGTGATTGTTAAGTGAGACATTGCACGATTGCAACTTGTGATTTTTACTGCCAGCTTCTCCATTGACTCAAAAGCTGGCTGTGAAGTGCGCTAATCGCAAATACTAGATTGTGGAAAGCTATGACAGTTAAATAACTCTCTGGTTGAAAAGTACTGAAATCTTAATTATTTAACCACAGAGTTCAACTTTTCCAGTGCTGTCATAACTTCGAACGGTTGCTAAATAGGGCAGCCATCAAGTGAGGACCACAAGTACTGCACTGATAACTACCATTTCTGTGTGCAGAATGGCTCTCTCCTAATTTTGAGACTTGATATTTTTATATGCATCTCACTTAGTTTTAGTTTGGGATACGGGTTTTCAATTGGATTTTTTCTGATTTTATAGATCAAGCATGAAACTAAAACTGGAACCCTTCAGGTATATTTTTTGCTAATAATTTCTTTTCCCTTTTATAGCTTGACATGATGTGCTCCAGGAACACTGCAGGTGTGAAATGCCAAATTGTGATCTTGACTGCTCACTAAAGCAAATTCTTCCAGTCCAAGAAGAAGTTCTCTACCACAGTCATAGTTTCAAAATTATGTTATTCTAAATTCCCTTCCCTTTGGCAAGCCAGACTTGAACAAGAAAAAAAAAACAATATGTCCCTTTGTTTTGTTAATGCGTTCTTTTGCTTTCATTAATTCATGAGGTAATTTTGGAACTTAATACATACATGCAATCACAATAAGGAAACGAATTATTTTTTTCCAGTATTCACTAGAATACTTCCTGAAGAATGCTGGTTTTTTTCTGTTCAGAAGTGGCTGGCATTTGTGTGGTTTCAGTCTGGAAGTTTTCAAGATAACTTTCACTTAAGCCAGCAAGACCAGATCAATGTAGCATGTTACTATCATGCATCATTCTGTATCCAGAACATAATATTTTAAGGGGCTGAAAGAATCTATGGAATATTTCAGCAAAGCCAAACATTCAGTAAGTAAGATTTCTAGGAAGTTACGTAAATAGAATCCGGCTTGTCCATATGTGAAGTCACTGAAAAGCCAAAGAGAACTCTCATATGTTCTTTAATGAAAGTCTTTATCAGGAAAAATATATTTAAATTGAAACGGTTTTTTCTGATGCCTTCATGCTTATCTTTTAATATCAAAATATATTGCTCCAATCTTAAAGCCAAGGATACAATCTTTGTTGTTGCTAAAAAAAGAACTTGCAGTTATATAATTTGGAATTGGAGAACTTTTATGATAGCAACACAGTCAGGTTAAAGCTTTAATAAACCTTAATCCTTGAAATAATTGGTATGGACACTGAGGTGGACTTGAAACAACAAGAGCTGTATCAAATTGAAGTCATGTTAGACTGCAGTTTTTGCTTTATCAATCCTCTACCAAATTAATGTACCGTAGTTGGCTATCTTGAACATACACTAAAATGATAAAAACTCTCATTGCTGTATATGTATTCCTTAGCAGAATTGCCTTGTATCTTCCATTTGAAGTGATGATACTTGTGCTGTAAGTGATCAGACTGACTCTGAGTCACCTGTTCTCTGTGTAGCTTATGCATGACACACATAGATAAAAGAATGGGGTAAACTGGGGGGTAAATGAAAAATATTACATACTTAGCCTTCAACTGCTGCCTATTGCATAGCCTCTTTCAACAAAATTGACCTTTGCTCTCTTGACTGGTGTGTGGACTCCTGCAGTTTTCATACTTTGACACTGCTGAGAGAAGCTAGGAAAGACTTAACTCACAGCCAATATAATTGAATATAGACTTTTAGTAATTTAAGATTATAGGATGACAACAGAGATAAATTAAATTACACTTTTGTAATAAAAAATTCCTTTGTAGGTATCGCAATTCTTTAACTAAAATATCAAGGAAAGCAATTAGTTGCTAACTATATATTGCACCCAAGGAAGGCTCTGACCATGATTAAAGGCTGCAACATAAACCACAGTATCTAACTACTGAATCTATTGAGTCCAGGGGCCAATTCCCAATTTATGTACTGTTCTGGAAAACCTTGCATAACTCTACAGGTTGCGTGTTCATCTGGATGCTATACTATTTTGTGTTCTGTGCAAAGTTCACATTTGTATGCATTTAGAAAATGTTCAGTAAAGCTGAGTGTATGTAAATCAGGTTGTACATAATCTGGGAAATGTTTGTATTTTTAAATGGGAATTTACAGGGCCAGACATTGTTTCCATCATTTGGCTCTACTTGCGGAGTATAAGTAGAAAAGCAGTAAACTGAAATTCACATCTTTGCTATGGTAGTAAAGAAAAATAAACAGCAAACTTGCATTTTAGAAACTGACAGATTTCCTGCACCATTAATAATCAGCCTTCTAATAGATTTTAAAGAATTTTAATGAGGTGGTACAGATATTTGATATAGAATGAATTTGACAAAATTGTAGCCCTTTGGAAAATAAATTCTTTCAATAAATATATTGGTCTTTGATTTCATGAGAATTTCATTTGTATCCTAGTAGAAGTGTACAGCTTTTGTTAATAGCCGAATCTGGTGTGTGGCATATTCTTAACAGTGGGTGAGGTCAGGCTTCCAATGTTTGTGGTTTCCCCCTCCCCCCCCTAATTTTTGTAAGAGCACCTTAACCTCTGCAAGACTTAGAGCACCCACTTTACTCCCTCTGTCCCTCTGCATAAAAATAAGACAAGCTATGTACTTGTTTTATCCACTTTGGAGGCTTGTGAAATGGATAATAGCAACACTTTTACCAATCCTATATTTAAGTTTTTATACTATACTATTTATAGTATAACTACAGCTATACCAAATAGGAATGAATCAGTTATTTTACAAAGCTTTAATCTGGGCCCAAAACTAAGGGGAGGAAAAATATTTCAAGAACATTGATAGAATATCATTGAAGAAAGGTTTAGCTGCTAGTTTGGGATATATGTGCAAGCAGGCCTTTTCATAGCAGCGCTGAAAACAGAAAACGTCTATTAAGTCCTATCTGATTGAAAGGAGAGAAATACTAAGGCTGAAATAATTTAATCCACGTTCGTACTATAAACCAAGCATGAGCATAGTACATAAAGTATTTTATTTGATGTAAGGCTTGAGATGAACTCCATTTCTATAAATTGCAGCAGCAATTCTCAATACACCTGTATTCTGAAGGTGGGAGATATGACCCCTCAACACTATCCTAGCCAATTATACTAAACCCAATATCAAAGAGAGGATGTACAAACTTGATCCCCAAGCAATATCAAATCAGCATACATTTCTATTAACCAACACTGTAGTTTAATAACTTGGCATTAAACCCGATTGGATTTTTTTCAAAAAAAAAAGCTGAAAAAGAAAACAGAAATACGGTTCTAGTGACCTTACTAGTTTTGAATATGGTGGACTTTGAAATCTTTGGCTTCTCAGTGATCAAATTCAATCATACCTACTTTATAAATTGTCTAAAGAAAAACCGTTAAGCTGGTTCTTAAATTTTCTATGAAAAAGTTGCTATGGTCATTTTCTAAGTCTCAACTGGATTAATTTCAAAGTATGAGCTATATTTAGATCAATTCATACAGGTCTAGAAATATACTGAAAGATTGCTTAATAGCATTCGGGTACAGTAAAATCTTATAAACAAATGAGCCTAAAACCAAGATTAACATTTGCAACATAAGTGGGTATTACTCTGCCCAAATCTTTAAAATGTCTTTGAAATGAAATGGCTGAAGACCTTGACCATTAGGACTGAAAATGCATGTGCTATTAACCCATGTTTCTTTCATATCGTGCTTGAAATGATGGTGTGCTCATACCAATTTGGTACATAATAATAGCACATTACTATCACGTACATTCTGTACTGCATTTCATGTTGAATGCACAAAAAAGGTATCCACAAGGCTACATCAACATGCTTCCCCTAAAAACCATTGCCTTTTAATCTGCATTGTTAAAGAAATGCTTTACAATCTTTCTTAAAGCTAAACTATTTGGTATGTTCTCAGTTATAACATATATATAAATTAGTATAATTTTTACTAATTCCAATGTTGGGGTTGAGACAGAATTAACAATTTCAAAAACAAACTATCCATTCTAGGTTTTTTTTTTTTTTTCTGTAATACTTATGGGTCTTTAATCTTTACCATATCTGTTTTCTTTAACTTTTCTCTTGAATAATTTTCAATCATTTTCTCCCAGCTGAGCCTTAATATTTCAGCCCAGCTGAAAAAAGACAGCTTGGAGTGGATTTATAGAATAGAATCAGTGAAAATTTGGAAAAGCTGTACCTTTTCATTCTTTATTTAGTTATTGCCTAGTAGAAAGATTGAAAGCAATATATTTGCATTCATTAAAAACTTGCCACTTTAATTTCAGTAGATCTCCGTAAAAATCACAAAATCTGGGAACAGCCTTCATTCTGCTAAGGGATTGTATATTCCTATTGTCTTGATAGAATTGGCATTGTGTAGCCACCATCTAGTTCAACTTTTCTGACAAGAGTAAGAAAGATTTTTGAGGAGAGGACCATACTACCTTCCATGTGTGAGAACTTGGTCACATAAATTGTTATGCCACTTGGGGAGATTCCCATAATCCCATAACATAGTCCATTCAGCATTCCTTTGGAAGAGGCAGGGTTTTTAGGATGAGAACATGACAAAAACATTACCTTTTGTCCATTACCTTTTCACGAATTGGATGTAACATACCGATGTTTAGGATTGCCTTCTTTAAGCACTATCCAAAACAAAATATTTTGTATTGAATATGAAACTGACTTATAATTTTTTTCTAATTTGCCTGAGTGTCTGCAATTTTAGAGGTTTAAGGATTTTGGCTGAGACAAATTCCAGAGAAGGCCTACTGGGAGACTGAATAGGGCAAGGCTGGTATGCCTGCTTCTCTTTCCCACTCTTCCATTTATGCGGTGGCCTATCCATTTATTTATCTGTCAAATTTGTATGCCACCCATTTCACCAAAGATGAGGGCAATTTACAGACATTGAATAAAATGCCATATAAAACAAAAATCGTAAATTTAATTCCATTGACTTCAGCACCTTCCTTTTCTTACTTCCTTCAAGCTGTGTTTGAATCTTTGGACATTGGCTGCAATGGGTCTAGGACAGTGATGGCTAACCTTTTTTTCCTTGGGTACCGAAAACGCGTCTTGCACATGCCCACACCTACAATGCAATGCCCCCCCCCCCCACACACAGTGCATGCACGCGCAACACCCCCCCGCCCCTGCGGGTGCCCTGTTTTGGGCCTAGCAGACTCCCTAGCAGAGGCCAGAAACGGGCCGTTTCTGGACTTCCGGTAGGCCCATTTTTCGCCCCCCCTCCCAGGCTCCAGAGGCTTTCCTGGAGCCTGGGGAGGGTGAAAACGGCCTCCCCCAGCCCTCCGGAGGCTGGAAACGGCCCATTTCTGGACTTTGGGGAGGCCTGTTTTTTGCCCTCACAGAGCCTCCACGCGAGCCCTGTACTTACCTGGCATCCAAAACAGGCCATGTGGAGACTCTTGGGAGGGGAGGGGCGGCGTGGGTGAGGCCAGCCTAAAATCATCTGGCCAGCACACGCATGCGTGCTGGAGCTGACCTAGGTCAACAACTCGTGTGCCCACAGATAGGGTTCCGTGTGCCACCTGTGGCACATGTGCCATAGGTTTGCCATCACAGGTCTAGGACAACTAGCCATGGCCAACTTGCCACAGCCAACTCTCCATGAGAAAACACCATTGGCAACTCGCTGCAGGACAAGAGGTACACTAATATCGAAGAAATGGTAGAATAGAATCATTAAAGAAAGGATGCAAAAGGAGGGGCAAAATGAAATGTGAATGGCAAAAAATAAAATATTTTTTAATTATTTTAGATTGAATGGTTAAATTGTCCCACAGCGAGTTGTCCCGTGGCGAGTTGGCCATGGCAAGTTGTCAGCGGAAGTTGGCCATGGCAAATTGTCCCATTCTGGGCTGCAACACCTAACGGGAACTAGGGAAGGCAGGCTGCAGGTGAAGCCAAGAATATTGACAGGCAGGGCTCTATCCAGTTCTAATCTTCTGAAGGGCTTTATCTCCCCCTTAGTCATGTTTTGCACTCCTAATTTTCCTTCTATTTAAATATACTAATGTCAATAAACAGTGACTTAATTACACTGTCAAATTTTAAAATTACAAGCTTTAAAATATCTTTCTTGATTTATGTCACCCTTTCCATCATTGCAAACCAAATTCCCATTGCAAACTTGCCCACAAATTTTACTATTCTAATGCATATGTGATTTATTTTCTCTTATATAAATGGGTGAAAATATCATGGAACATACATTTCATCTTATAATGGTAACAATTTATTGTTGCCAACTTAAAATAGTGGTAATATGACATTTAAATATTTATTACATGACACGTTATTAAAAACAAGATCATTAAGGTCTGCATTCACATCATTAGTGTTTGTAAATTCAATTTTTTAGTCTTGCAGACTAGTTGAATTCAGAAATTTCATTTCTGTTAGTTTTGGTGATCTGAAATGACATTAGAGCTGTTGGAAGTTGTGGTCTACACAAAATTACCTCTTAAGAGCTCTTGTGTTTGTTGCTGAAGAGTGGAAACATTACCATGAATGTACAAAACATCTGACCAGCAGGTATTGGAAAAAAAATGGTATTCAGGTAATTGCCTGGATCCTGTAATAAATTAAAATCTTTCAGAATGACTAAGCCTCAGAATGTCCTCTTCAGAAGGTACTGAAATGTTCCTTTTGTGACCCACAGAACTGTCTCTTTTTATGAGGCAAGTGTAGAAAAAAAGACTCAATAGGTGGTTGGCTACACTGGCAAATGCTGGGTTTAAAAGAGGGCACTGAAGAAGATTGCTCAAGTGAATTGAAAAAAGGTTGAAGCAAACTTCTCTTGAGGTCTCCCAACACTCACTGAGTGGGTTGGTCAAATATGTCATACTGAGACACACGGCACTGAGGCAGTCAGAAGGAAAGCGGCTCTACAGTGCAAGGCCACCTGGGTTTAGTTGATTTTTGTTTTTGTTTTCAGTCCCAGAATTCTCTGACTCACATCTCTTGAAGAAGTTGTTTGGCAGGCTATCCATCAAACCGCCTTCTAATGTCTGCAGCCCATCATCATCATCTCATGAACCAAATGAGCTACTGAACTTGTCATACCCATTCCTGGACAGGTCTTCTGTAGTATGTCACGCTTTGCTGGACCTCTTTATTTTTGAACTGGAAGATTGTGTATACCAAGACAAGGATACACAGAGATAAAATGCAGGGGATCACAACTGCAATTGCGTTAACGGTACTAGGCACATCGTTTATAGTTACCATAATATCAACATCATCATGAGACAGGCGTCGGTCTTTGCTTCGTTCAACTTCCTTCTGGTTGCAACCCATCCAGTCTTTGAGAATCGACCTAGGATACCCTGGCTCCACAGTCAGCCTCTGGTTATCAAACTTCCAGTATTCCTTACCCTTATAAAAGTAAGTATAAACTGAAAAAGAAAGCAGAGATTACTTCATTTATGCACCACTAGAATCACAGTTGGAATCAGTCATTGAGGCCATTATGTATAGGAAACCAAATTAAAGCTGCTCAGACAAATTGCTGTCCAGAATTGGGCACAGTTTTGAAGTGGAGCCTAATAATCAGAATAGAGTGAAATGATTACGATAGTTCTTATGATTTGGTAATTACATTTTTTGATGCAGCCTAAAATTGAATTGCTGTTTTTTCCAGCCACAATATATTTTTGGCTCATATTCAGTCTGCAATCAACAACAATTCCAAGATCTTTTTTGTGACTATTGTTAACAAGGCAGCTATCCATCATCGTGCACATCTGCATTTATTTTTGCTTCATAAGTGAATAACTTTTCACTTGTCTTTTTAAGATTTATTTTTTACTTTCAGCCCATTTCTCAAATCTATCAGCATAATCTTAAATTTTACTTCTCTCCTGTAGACTATTAACTACTGTAGTCAATACTGTATCATTTGCAAATCTGTTGTATTTTTTCATCATCTTAACCAAAAAATAAAATACTGAAAAATAGAGGACCCCAAACTGATTGTGACACCCTACTCAACATAGTTGAATGAGAAATTATTCCCGAGAACTCTGAATACCTTGAACAGAGTTTGGAATACAATCACAGTTTTCAATTCCAATTAATTGTCCTGCAATGCAATCCACACTTAACTAGCTTGTTATATTAATCAAAATGTCATGGAGTATTTTATCAAATGCTTTGCTGCAAGTCAGGGTATAGAAAATCTGCATGCTAAGGAGTGGAGATAAAGTGGAGAATTATGCATATGGCAACACTAGCCATACTTCAGAAGATAAGAGTAAAAAGAAACAATTACTGTATTTTCCGGCGTATAAGACGTCTTTTTAACACATGAAAATCTTCTCAAAAGTCGGGTGTCATCTAATACGCCGGGTGTCGTTCTCCTGTAACCAGGCAGACCAGCCCGAAAGGCTCTGACGAGCCTTAAATGGCTCTGATGATCCAAGCCCTAACGATCTGCTAATCAGGCAACTCAGTTGGGATCGCCAGAGCCATGGAGAAGGGAAAAAGTTTTCTCCTTTCACATGGCTCTGACGATCCAAGCTCTGACGATCTGCTAATCAGGCAACTCAGCTGGGATCGCCAGAGCCAAGGAGAAGGAAAAAAGTTTTCCCTCTCCAGCTTGCTTACCTTAGCTGCTTGCCTTGCTTCGTTTGCCTTGCTTCGCTTGCCTGAATCCATTCCATCAGCAAGCAACTCCCTGCCTGCAATCAAGCAGGCAGGAAGTTGTGGACTTCAACTCCCAGAATTCCTCAGCCAGCAAAACAAAGCTGGCTGAGGAATTCTGGGAGTTGAAGTCTACAAGTCTTAAAGTTGCCAAGGTTGGAGACCCCTGTTCTATTGGGTAAGTTTTTTTCCCCTTTGGGATCTTTAAAAAAACAGTTAATTGGGGTTTTTTTTAGTTGTTCTTTTTTAGACCTAGCCATTTAAAGTTTAGGAAGTTTTAAATTTAGCTTTCATATAAAAATAAAAATAAAATAAAATAAAATAATATTTGTGCAGCTTTCTGAGATTTAGTATGTTTTTGTAGTGTTTCACTCTAACTACACAAACACACAAAATCTCACAAAGCTGTATGTGGAATTTTGTGTGTGTAAAGTGTGAAAATTGGGTTTTGGGGCTTTTTGTGGCTGTGTGAGGTTCCTGCTTGTTGCAGGGGCCATTTTGGGTCTAGCACAGCTGCTTTTACATCGTGGGTGAGCCAGTTGTGTTGTGTTGTGTTGTGTGTGTGTAAAGTGTGAAAGTTGTTTTTTGTGGCTTTTTGTGGCTGTGTGAGGTTCCTGCTTGTTGCAGGGGCCATTTTGGGTCTAGCACAGCTGCTTTTACATTGTGGGTGAGCCAGTTGATGTTTTTTAATTTTTATTTGGTGTGCGTTGGAAGAGGGGTAGTCTTATACGGTGAGTATAGCCCAAACCCTATATTTTAACAGGAAAATTCGGGGGTCGTCTTATACGCCGGAAAAGACAGTATTTAGCTTTTCCTACATGTAGACAATTATATTTCCTTCATTTGCATCCGAAAGAATGAGGATAGGAATAAGCATCCATTTATTGTTTAAGGACCACTGATGAAATCAATCCAGCTAGCTGAAATACAGGATTTAGTGAATCAGAAGTCTAGCCAAAATTTCCAAGAACAGAATATGTATTGCCTGGTCAGGAATCCATTTATAAGCATGTGTCTTTGCATTATTACGATTGCTTGGTCACAGCAATCCAAACACTTTGCTTAGCAAAAAATACTGAACCAAATGTTATAAACGAAATGTTTATACTCACAGCCTTCTTTGCTGACAAAAGCCCCTTGTGGAGCTTGTGGAATCCCTTTCCATACAGTGATTGGCTTGGGGTAGCCTGGATCTGTTGCTCTCTTGTCTTCATTATACCTCCAGTATTTATCTCCTTTGAAGAAGTATGTTTTGCCTACAGGTTCCCACCGTAAAGCTGTGTCAATCCCTTCCCGGGGAAGACAGCTGCCCAACTCCACTAGGCTATGCGGATATCCTGGTTCTGCTGTCACTTCCTTAAAAACCCAATACTTATCTCCTAGATTTGAGGAGGAAAGAACACACATAATACATAATTACTAAGAGCTAATAAAATCATTAGCTGTTTTTTTTTTCTGCTAGAGGTTCAGAAAATAGCAGGCAATCATTTTTCACTGATTTCCTTATCTGATTCAAAAGGGTTTTTTGATAGCTGAATCAGCCAGAGAGCTTAATCTTTTGGGTAGTAACAAATTGCAGTTGAAAACTGCCTTCCATAAAGTTGACTGTTTGGTTGCAATGTGTTGGAAATTTTAAAAGTTTTCTGGAAAATAATCCACAATTCAGAAAGTTGATGCAAATATGGGCTACGGTAAAGATGATCTTTTTATCTAAAGAACAGATTTAAAAAAAAAATTACTTCACAATGAGAACACTTTGCCTATGCTTCTAATTTCTATAAAAACACCTGAACATCACCAAATTTTCTAAATAATAAAAATACCGTGATGGAACCTGCTCTTTGCTCTGTCTTAGAGGAGACAGACAAGTGTCTCTCCCATTAACAAAATGGTAAGATGTAATTTAAAGAAACCCATGCTGGATCAGTCATCACCGAGGTCAACAAGGACTTGCTTCCATAAATTTCTTTTCTCTTTATCTTGAGAGCTCTGATCAGTTCCCACTCAAAACTAGACAGAACTTTCTATGGTACATAGACCCATTTTACTGCAAAGCATTTGGGAATTCAATACCTTAATTCATAATCTATGCCTTTCTCAATACAACAACCCAATTTTGCAAGCAACACACACTATTTATTTTTCTATTACATTACTGTTTCTGCTTCTCATGCTATACAAACAATATTTTAAGAACATGGCAGATTGACACCAAGCTGACAGCAGTTTATTGAAAATTGAAGGTTCTCTGAGATATAGCTTATAATAAAAAAAAAAACCAAAGAAAACTAGTTATAGCCTGAAAAGACCAGAGAAATATAAACAAAGGCCTTTAAAAGTATCTTCCTTAGGAAATTGTTACCTATAACAATATTATTGCTAGTTGTTCCTCTAGCAATAATGGAGGAAGAAACTGCAAGGGAAAAGACTTAGGTGATATATTTTCACAGATGCTGACCAAATATTGCCAGGTTTTGAAATTTTGAAGGTAAAGAAAACATACATATAAATACATGCATTACTACAATGACATATTGTATTTCACATACATGTTTTCTTATGTATATACAGTATTTTAAAGTCATTTTTTAGAATGACTAACCTTCTTTAATCTCTTCATTATTCAAAAATCATCAAAAATGAAAAACTGAACAAAAATTTATTAAGATCAGGTTTTCAAGGCATGCTAGCATCTGTTTTGATACCGTGTTTCCCCAAAAATAAGACCTTATATGTCTTATATTTTTTTGAACCCTGAAATAAGCGCTTGGCCTTATTGCCATGCGCTCAAAAGCCTCTTTGGGCTTATTATCAGGGGATGTCTTATTTTGGGGGAAACAGGGTAATATTCATTTTTTTGTAGAACTGTTTGTATTTCCATGATAAAAATAAAAATAAAAATACCTTTAAAGAAAACAAATTTTCCATCAGATCTTTCATAGGCAGCATCAATTTTTGCTGGGAGCCCTTTCCAGAACTGCTCAATTTGCATGGGATAACCCTCTTGTACTCGACTGTTACGAAGGCGCCAAAACCAGCGGTCCTAAAAAAAGAAAACCACCTCCTAGGATTATACTTCAGATTCCGATAAGAGGAAACAAAACAGCAAAGCAGGTTTTATACTGCATTCTTTAAAAAAGCACTGCAAGGCATTTTGCTACCTGTGGCACAGCAGCTGGGTGAGTTGCACAGGACTCAAGCCCACCCAGGTATTTTGGCACTAGTGGAATTTTACTTCCAGAAAAAGTGGTACTTATTAGATATCTGTATTATTTCTAACATCAATACCTGTCTCTCCCTGGAAGTAAAACATTAAGACGGACTACCTCACTCTGTCTAATAATAGAACTAGCTCCTGACTCCAGTCTTTTCCTCCCCACCTCTAAGATTACTTGATAACATTGATTTCCAAAAGAAAACCATCTCAAATCCATATCCTTCCTTTTTCTACATTCTATGTTCATCTTTACATTCAAATCAAGTATCAAATGATGCACAAATTTGCTCTCCTTCCACTCCCATTGATTTTACTTAAAGACATGCAGAAATTCAGAACAGGACATAAGGCAACAAAAGAGTTTACAGTATTAAACAATATAAAAACCCTTATTGAAGACAATATTTAAAAACAGAAAGAAACAGTAACACATATGTAAGACGCTGAAGTGTTCTTAAAAGATTTTTAAAAGAATATCATGGACAGGGGTGGGCTGCTAGGGGTTCGCAGGTGTTTGGAAGAACCTCTAGCTAAGATTCTGTGCAGTTTGGAGAACCCCCAAATCCCACTCCTGGCTGGCCACGCCCACCCCACCCCTCCCCTCCCCTCCCAGGAGTCCCCACGCGGCCCGTTTTGGATGCAGGTAAGTGCAGGGCGCGCAAAGAGGCTTGGGGAGGGTGAAAAACTGGCCTACCGGAAATTCAGGAAGGCCGGAAACGGGCCCTCCGGAACCTGGGGAGCTGTTTTCGCCCTCCTGGAGGCTTGAGGAAAACCTCTGGAGCCCAAGGAGAGCAAAAATGCCCCACCCCACCGTGGTGCAGGAGGCCGACTAGGCCATGGCCACCATGGCCACGCCACCCAGCAACTGGGCAGAGAACCCTTTGCTAAAATTTTTGAAGCCCACCCCTGATCATGGAGACATTAAACATGCAACAATTCAAAATGTTAGCAGCTTGGGCTATCATCTCATTCAATATAATGAATACCCATTGGCCTAGATCTGTAATCTTTATCTAAGGACATGACTAATCTATCTTTCTTTCCGAGTCAGATACTCTGTTCAAGAGAACATTTGAAAGAAGCAGCAATCAGTTTCCTTTTTCACAATTAAACCAATGCCGGAAATACATTTGAACTCTACAGCTTACTCAGCTTAATGATACATCCTGCTTTTCTCAGCAGATTTACATATTATGATATAAATTCTAGAGTATGACTACTGTAAAATGTTTGCCCTTTGGAATAGGATGTAATGGTACTTGTAAAATCTTGCTTTTTCCAAATCACAGAGAAAAATATGCAAACTTGTTTCTATTTGTGTAAGCAATTTGACGTAAGACAATTTGATATATCAGTGATACTAAGATCAGTACATTATGGTCCTGTTTTGTTAAGATTTAATATTCTGATTTTTAAAAAAATCATTTGATACAAAACTTTTCAATTAGAAAATCAGCAAAAAGTGAGAAATTAATCAGGAAACAGATTTTCTGACAGAAAAGAGGTCTGTTCTGGTTCAAATACCCTCTAACATACAGGTGAAATCCAGCAGATGCTGACAGGTTCTGGAGAACCGGTAGCGGAAATTTTGAGTAGTTCGGAGAACTGGCAAATACCACCTCTGGCTGGCACCAGAGTGGGGTGGGAATGGAGATTTTGCAATATCCTTCCCCCAGGAGTGGGGAGTGAATGGGGATTTTGCAGTATCCTTCCCCTGCCACGCCCACCAAGCCACACCACGTCCACCAAGCCATGCCCACAGAACCGGTAGTAAAAAAATTTGAATTTCACCACTGCTCTAACGGTCTAACTCATTTCAGAAAATTAATATAAAAGCATAGCATCATTACTTCTCATGTTTGCAAAGCAAAATATCAGCTATGAAAATACTTGTCTTGCTACAAACCCCATCCTCATGCCCTGGAGATACCTAGGCCCCATTTGTGAAACAGAAATACTCTAAGTTGGAAGAACTCTTCACATGCACTGCAGTTCCCACAGGCAGAAAATTGCTACATCAACAAGCCGAAAACAGAACACAGCACTCTCTTGGAAACAATGTGAAAACAATCCTTATTCTAGATTAAAAATGTTTAGGTTTAGGTTATCTAACTAGTTGAGAAGGAAAGGCATTGTGTCATCTGCTATTTCAAAGTAACCTAAGACAAAGAATGCAGGCAAATTCACTGCAAGTCAACCATTATTGAATGTGATTAGTGATATCAAAACACCAAATGACTTGATTGACAGGCAATCAATTATACACTCCTTTGTAGTACATAGAGATTAATAAAAACCGCCCTTCTGGAACAGCCCTTCCTACCTTGAAAACAAACATTTCTCCTCGGAACAGAGCCACAGTATTGAAATTTCCATCACATATGTTGGGTTTGCTGCCTGGAGCAGAAGGCCTGTCCCCTAAAGGAGGCCTAGGAGGCCGTGAATGTCTGTCATGTTTTCTTTCTGAAGTCGAATGGATTCTGCGGACAGGAAGGGTTGGTAAAGGTCTGGTGGGTTCCAGCGGCTCAGCAGGGGGACCTAAGCAAAAAAAGGAAGGAGGGAAATCAAAAAGCTGTTGGGAGTATTTTCCCCACTACATTAAACATTGTCAGCCAGCTTGAGCATGTTTTTCTAAAGATTTTATCAAAATATTTCCTTTGTCTATAAACTGCAATATAATTTTCAGTGTCCTGCAGCATCTTGTATTTATACTTTTGGATAATATAATTACCAATAATATTGGATTTTTCTACATAAAGTGCTTCAGCTATTAGTCTAATTATCAATGGATGCAACCCTTTTATAGTTGCTGTGGATTGCAGATCACATGTGCGTAAGGCTTGGAAGAAAATTTTAAAAAATTAAAGCCATTTATTATTTTCTTGCAAGTGTGGAGAAGATATTTATTGGGTTATGAGTCACTCCAGTGCTCAGGGGACATGTTTATATTGGATTGCTACAACCTGGCAGTGCTTTTGCACACTAATGCAAGATAGAAGTGCCATGGTACTGCAAGCTGTCATTCAATTATAATTTTGGATGGACTAAGGGTACTGAGATGTGGAGATATTGGCATGGAGAGGCAGGAAAGGGTGCTTTGCTTATAGCAGACAAGGGCCAATTTGTGGTATATCCAGAGCATTATATTTATTTTGCATTTTGCAATTGATTTCCTGGGTGTGGTATTACTATAATGTAGGCATGTCTGCAATTTATCTTCTTCAATGAAATGCTTGTAGTTTTATATATTTAAAGTTAGAAAGCTTTTTTTTCCCTCTTAAAAGCTTAAGCAGAAGGGCAGTAAATGGCGGAAGAGATCTATCTCTTAAATACATTGGGCTTATAAATTGGATGCCAGATGGGTGAAGCTCTCTAGAAGATAAGCAGTAGTAGCAGAAACTACCAGGCCATGACTCCAGAGCAGGATCAGGGCTTCTGAGACGCAGTTTTGGGACTTCCAGCCTTACACCCTGCAGACTTCAACAATTTGCTACACAGAGGTTGTTGGGTACAAAGCAGGATGAAAGCTGTAGCTCTTAATCTTTTTAAAGCTTTTCCTTTCTGTTCCTCTTTTCCTTATTGCTTTGAAGGGGAAAATTGTTCCAATACTACAGAAGGGAACTCTTAGTGATTACACGAAAATAGGGAGGAAAGAAAGGATCAAGAAACAGAAATATGGTCTTATGAAAGAAACTCCATGAGGAATGGCATTAAAAGTCCATCCCTTGGCATGAGGTTTGTTGACAAAGCAGCCTAAATATTTTTGGTCATAATACTAACCCAAGTATGAGATAAGGACAAAGGGTGCCAAGTTTGCCTTATGTAATGTTACATGTGCTAGTCAATAAATGTTTGTGACATTTCAGTAACTGCATTTTATTTTATGGTTTATACTCAATAGTTGTCCTTGCTATAGTGGTGAAATAGCATGCTACCAACAACAGCTTGTTTTGGCTTGACAAAATGTCATTTCCTTACAATTGATGCATTCATAGAGGCAACCTTCATTTGCAGCCAGCTCCGTGTTGCATATTTTTTATTGAAGGAATTTTTGTTTATCTCATATCAAAATAGAATACTTTTAAAGACACCATTTTAAATTCAATAATGAATGTGGAACCTGAAGTGCCTGAGCAGTTTTCTGAAGACATGCCTTTATTTCAGTGGTGTGAAATTCAAGGGGTTCATGATACTCTTAGCAGTGCAGACCAGGAAAGCAAGAAAATTACATTTGAGGAGGCTAAGGTCAATTTAAGAGGTAAAATGGATGTCTTAGGTGTTAGCCCATCAAATATTGGTAATAAAAATGAAGTTATTTTAACTGACAATTTTCCCACAGTAAATTTCATGAAACAAATTTGAGAAATGCCCCCATTCTTCAGAATCACAATTTTGGTTCTATAAATTATAGAAAAACTATTTGAAATTATGGCATAAGGAATTTATCTTACCATAGATCTTCTGAATTCCTTGAAGGTCATCTTGGGGTAACTTAAAGTTGTGTGTCTCCATGTACTGATAAAAAGGAGCCATAATAGCACTAGGGTCATTGGAATGCTCAAGGCCTAATGCATGACCCAATTCATGTACTGCAACCAGAAAAAGATCATTTCCTATAGAGGCAAAGTGTGTAACTATTAGCTTCTGCATTAATAGGACAAGAGTTCCAATCACAAGCTTCACAAATTCTTATTATCACATCATTATAGCGGTATAGCAGTTATGGCTTTACAAAGAAACTCAGGCTACATCTGAATATAATTGCAATATCTATTGTTATTGTGTCTTTTGTATGCTGTTTCTATTTGTATAATAGAATTAACAATTTTTGTGTATTTAATTGAGTCAATATCATCTCAATAGTCCTGGCAACAATATCAAAACCAGTATCAGCTACGCAAATTAGTTCAGGTTCATAGACGATTTTCTAATATGATGCCCTGTACATGTTTTGGGACTATGACTTACACCATTCTTAGTAAGCATACCACAAAGCAATGCTGCTCATTAAAGATAATTTGATTCTTGCTAACAAGATTTTGCAAAAGGCTGCTGATAGTATGTGACTAAGCTATGAAAGACATTAGTTGTATTACACTGTAAAATGTACAATTAATTCGAGGGGAAAGAATTTCAGAGGTCAAAGTGTCTTCTGTTTATCATTTATCAAGCCACAGAGTATATAAACAGGCAGTTTTAGGAAATGTACAGTCCAAAAAGACAAAGTATGAAACCTAAGTTTATAATATTATGCCCCATATCCAGGTAAAATTTAGAAAAAATATTCTTAGTAGCACTTAGAATAAAGAGGACATCCTACAATACTATGAGACAGCCCAATATCAATTTTTCTTTTACCATAGTTTTAGGCATTCATTCTTATTTTGTACCTTAAGCCACTAAAATCTATAGAGCTAGAGGTTTTCAAGATGCTTATGTAGGTACATTGTATCCAATGTAAAACACATAATATGTAAGTGATCTAGTGCTTTCTGATGTCTACATGAGGACTCACAATGGAACACGTATCTAACTTATTTTTCCATGTTCCATAAGAGTGGGAAAATGTAAATTCAAATAAATAAGAATAATTGACTTTAGTAATGACAACTCAGCAAAGAAGATCATCTAATGACTTTAGCAAAACCATATTTTAAGAGAGTATGTTATTCAAATATTAGCACACTTTTCTCAAAAACATATTGTATTTTAGGCTTTTCAGTTAATAGTTTTAATTATGATTAGGTTTCCTGGCTTTCTAAAACATAATGGCACATGTATAAGTTAAGCTGTCTACAATAGAAAAAATAGCATGAAATATTAATTTGTATATAATACTCTCATTATGCGTCAGAAAATTTCATGCATAAAACAACTAACATTTGGGATGCGAGTGGGGGGAAGAACACAAAATAATGTACATTAATATATTGCTACAAAATGTTGTAGAATTTATAATAAGAGTGTAGAAGTTGCAGATTTTTCAGTACAGCATCAAAATATATATGGGAGTGCATTCTATTAATGTTATGTTAAACAAAGCTAACAATAAAAATACTATTGCAAATGACCTCTAGCAGATTAACTTGTATCTTTATAGTTTGCAGGACTTCCCTAAATGGAAGAACTTATCTAGGTCGTTTAGAAAATAATTTTTGTTAACAAATTGAAGAAGAATATACATTTTTAAAAGTGTAAGTGAACACTAAACACACAAAAACACTAACAACCTCTATATGCTCTATTACATTATTGTTTCTTAATTTTATTATGTATTCCAAAATAAAAACAGTGGAACACAGCACTTTTTTGTTTCTTGTCATCTTAAAAAATGAGAAATATGTTTCAATTAACATATCAACATAATTGTCCTTCAGATGTTTTTTGCATACAAGTATTTCTGTATAATAGTATATGTGCCATTATTTGTCAGCAAACGTCTTATATAAATTCTGTAACTCTGGTTCATTGCTGTATTACTAAGTCTACATCTTGAAATGTAAGAAATTATCTTGAGAGCCTAAATGGCAAGACTGCAAGTATTTATTTACTTATTTTTATTTATTAGATTTATGTGCCTCCTGCCCATTCTTCTCAGTTGCTGCTCCTTCTCAACTCTATCTAGCTAACTGCAGGAACAGCTGGGGTGTTAGGCTTTAAATTGACAGGCAGACAAAACATAAAAGGAAACACCATTTAACAAAAAAAGGGGGGGGAATCTGCATATTTTTTGCTAATTGAAAACGTGTCTGGGAACGGGTTAGCATATGGTAAATCAATAGGTGAGAACCAATTTTAAAAATGAAGAAAAAATAACAGGCAATACAATTAATCCCTAGTATGAATAGGAATAATACCAAAACTATAATTATATAAAATCCGTATAAACCATTCTAATCTGCCTATAATATTTTTTGGTTATTTAGCTATATTAACTTTTGCTATCATAATAATAGTATGGTTAGCCAAATTCTTCATATATTGTATTTCAGATGTGTATGTTGAAAACAAGCATTAGACGATCCTAGTCTAGGTGCAGCATGTTGAAATATCACAAATAGGAAGGAAACATGAGACTGGGAGACAGACATGTTGAAATAAATGAGAGACTTGTTTAACTGCTTATTTTATAGAATAATAAAAAAAATACCTGTATAACACATGCATGTATTTAACATGCACATTGCACATGCAATCAATTTATACAATAGAAAAGGAAAGTATTAAGCATGGATAAAAAAGCTAAAATATAAATGCTCAAATGGACAGTTCAAAAGAAGCAGTACTAATATACCTGTTTTTATTTCAAAGCAACCTATCAAATCAACACTTGCTCAGATTTAGGAATGCAGAACCACTAAAGTATATATAAGCATAAACTCCTAGTTCAATATAGTTCAGGAAAAGGGGCATCTTGCCACTCCTGGCAGTCATTTTCAATGTTGGCAGTCCTTGACAGCCATCTAATTTACAGAATTTTTAATAGGCTTCTTCACATCATTAACTTGATATGTGGGAAATGTAATGGACTAAACGGATCCATTTTTCTGGGTGCCTAAACCTAACAAAATAATCCTTTGCCTCTATAGCTGTGCTTACAAATGTAACTTTCCAAATGCTATCCATCAGAAAATTCTGCCTAGTTTGTGGTCAATGAAAGAATGTTTTGAATGGATCCACAAAGATTCCACAAACAATAAAAGTTTCATCTGGATATTCATCTGGATAGAAGCGTGTAAAAGCATCAGATTTGATAACAGTCAATTTTTTCTGTGATCTCAATTGTACAATGAACTAATGAATTGTATAATATGCAGTATGGTTGCAGGGCATTTTGAAATCCAATATTACATATCAATCAAGAAATCTAAAGCATTCTGACTGATCTATTCTCTTCCCTTGCAAAAAAGTCTATACCAAATAAGAGTCTGTATATTAAAGATCAAAGCAGAGATCAAAGCGTCTGTATATCAATGATCAAAGCACACAACAGAATTTTCAAAGAAAAGGGCACACACCCCTTTACATTATTAATTAAAAAGAAGAACTCTGAAAGGACTTGCTCTGCAAAGTTATTTAGGGCAGAAAGTTGTTTGTATATTTGACATACAGATTCAGGCAGCACTTTACATAAAGTCCACAGTTAGACAGTAATTGAGATTGGAATATCCATTGTATGCAATGCAGTGATAAAATGTGATGTTACATGACCACATCGCTTAGCAACAGCAATTCCAGCACCTCCCTTTGCCAGTGTTAAGGGAAGATCATGGATCATTAAGCAAACGCCAGGAAGCTTGCAAGCAGGATGGCAGGCAGGTAAGGCTTGATACCTGACACAAGTGCAGCAGGGCAAAAGGAGTGGCTATTGCCAGTTGGGGGAGGGTGCATAAGTGGCCAGCAAGGAGCAGCATGAACGTGGCGAGGCTACGGGCGAGGCGCAAGCAACGGTGCAAGCAACTAATGGGTGATTTATGACCTTTCCTGCCAACTTCCCTATTGGTAATCATGTGACTGCAGGATGCTGCAACTGGTGTAACAGCAAATGGCCAAGCATCAGATCACTATCAGGTGACTGGGGGAGGTGGGATTCTGTGATGGCCTGAACATTGAGAATCAGTGCTAAGTCTCTTTTTTTCAGCGCTGTGATAAAACTTCAAATGGTCGCTGAATGAATTCAAGTCTTTATATTTTGTTATCTTTCTCTTCTGTTCTGCTGTCTCCAAGTGTTGCTGCATCCACTATCCAGACTTCTTTGTCTTTCTTATTGACAATTGTTAAGTGTGGGGTATTATGTGTCTGTTTGAATTCTCATGTTCCAGAACACTTTAGCTTCTTCATTTTCTATTATGTTGTTTATTTTGTGGTCCCACCAGTTTTTACTTGCAGGCAAATGGTATTTCTTGCAAATCCTCCAATATATCATTGCTGCTACTTTGTCATGTTGTTGTTTATAGCCAGTCTGTATTATCATCTTGTAGTGGCTAACCAGGTGATCTACTGCTTCTTCAGCTTCTTTGCAGAGGTAGAATTTGCTGTCGGTTTCTGTCTTCTCAATTCTTGCTTTGTATGCATTTAAGTCTTGGTATTGTGCAGCCAGAATTAGCCCTTCTGTCTCTTTTTCAACTTTCCTGCTCTTAGCCAGGGGTGTCAAACTGGAGGCCCGTGAGCCAGATGCATCATGTTCAGGCCACGCCTACCCCAGCCCTGCAAAAGCAAAAAACCTCACGATACGTCACATGACATCAAGATGTGATTGAGTTTGACACCCGTGCTCTTAGCCATTGCTACGTCTTATTATCTGCTTTGCCTGCTATTTTTTTAATGTGCTGACCATGTAACACCTTGTCTTGCCATGTCTGTTTTCTGTTCTTCGTTTGTTCTTTATTGTGAACCAGTTTGGTCTTTCCAGTACTCAGTAAGCCTTTCTGGTATATTAGCTTCAGTCAGTGGTGGGATTCAGCCAGTTCGCATCACTTCGGGAGAACCGGTTGTTAACTTTCTGAGCAGTTTGGCAAACTGGTTGTTGGAAGAAATCATTAGGGCAGAGAACCGGTTGTTAAATTACTTGAATCCCACCACTGGCTTCAGTGCATCTTCTTCACTGTCCTTCAGTTATTATCCCAATACATTTTTTTTCTTCTTCATCCATCATCTAGTTGCAATATTCCATGCCCACCTATTATTATTATTGTTCTATACTTTCTTCATCTTTAACAGAGCAAGGCAACCTCAATATACAAAATAAAAGTTAACATGCAAAAAGGAAAATATGTAAAATGAAACTAGAAGTACAAATATGGTTCTTAGAAATTAAGAAACTAAGAGACTTATTAAAATAATTTTTAAATCCCAGAAACAATCAAGAATCTATTTTGCTGTAGCACTCTGAGCACAGCTGAACACTTTAAGTCCAATTATTTTTCACCAGTGCTGTGAAACAGTCTCAGAGGGTGGCTGACTTCATACTGTGGTATTACAGAAATGAATCTTATACTAGGGATTTAAAGGATCTGTATTTCCAATATAATCAGCATAATTAGAGAACATTTTACACAGAAGCATTGTTAAAAAAATTAACTATATTTATAGCCCAGCATTTCTGGAAAGGCAGAACTACAGGGTACTGCTTCTCCAAATTAGATTTGGTGGGGGAGGTTGATATCATACTTTCAGATCCAAATGGACAATATTTTCCTTGCTCATCATACTAAGCATAATGGACATGTGGGATTAGCTTTCTTGGACAACATCTAGTATTTTTGTTCCTTAGTGACTTCTGAATTATGAAAATTAGTACAGGTTGCATATGCTTACTCTCCAAGTTATATAAATATAAATTATAACCCTCTTCCTTTTTAAAATCCAGAAATTCATTATTCTGTTTCAATTACATGTGTTCGATTTTAGCAATACACTGCCTATTCCAGAATTATACACAGGATTGCATGGTCCAGGAAACAGATGACCATGATGCACAAAATGAGAAACGATAATCATAGGAAGAAACACAATCATCAAACTAAAAGTACAGGAAAGGATGGAGAAGACTCTAATACTACTTCTCAGAGAAAAACCCAACAGAAAAACAAGCAAGTAAGGTGTGCATTCCTGTATAGAACAATCATGGGTCACATAGCAGACATACAGATCATTACAAGTGCCTAGGTATCCACGGGAACTACAATGAGGAGGCAAGGAAGACAGCAATATCCTATTACCATCAAAGGATCCAGCAGAAGACCCAGCACAATGAGAAGAATAAGATCCATGCCATCAAAACGTATGCTCTACCGTTCATCAGATACCCTGCTGGTATAGTGAGCTGGCAAAAGAAGGACATGGAAGCTGCCGATGTGAAAACCTGGAAGCTCCTCACAATGTACAGAGGTTTCCACCCCAAGTCCAATATCCAGAGGCTGTACACTAGGCAGAAGGAGGACAGTTGGGGGTCTGGTGAGTGTCAAAGCCACTGTCATGAATGAAACCCAAAGTATCCATCAGTAAGATGGCACCCCAAGATGAGCTGCCAAGAGAATGTCTGAGGCAGCAGCAGATGTGGGAGGAAGATCAAGCAGAGGAAGTGCAATGGCAAGACAAGATCCTGCATGGAATGTACCATTGATGCCTAGCTGAAGTGGCAGACATTGGGAAATTCTACCAGTGGCTGGAAAGGGCTAAAAGGTAGCACAGAGGCACTGATCATAGCAGTACAAGAACAGGCACTAAGCAGAAGATCTATAGAAGAGGGGTCTACCACACAAGATAGGACCCACAGTCAAACTATGCAAAGAGGCCTCAGAGACAATCCAACACATAGTGGCAGGGTGAAAGATACAGGCAGGAATACCATACACCAAACAGCACAATCAAATAGCTGGCGTTGGGTACAGGAACATCTGTACAGAACATGGGCTATACGCTTCTAAGTCTAAATTGAAACTTCCACAGGAGGTTGAGGAAAATAAGATTTCCTCAAAATGGGATTTCCAGATCTAGACAAGCAGGAAAGTACTGGCCGATCACCCACATATTGTGTCAGTAGACAAAGACCAGAATATAGCAGTGGTGAAAGATGTAGCTATGCCAAATGACAGCAACATCAGGAAGAAGGAGCATGACAAACTGGAGAAGTACCAAGCCCTGAAGGAGGAACTGAAGAGGATGAGGAAAGTAAAGGCCAAAGTGGTCCCAGTAATGGTGGGAGCACTCAGGACTGTGACTCCTAAGCTGGGAGAGTGGCTCAAACAGAGCTGAGGAAAAACATCAGAATTCTCTGTTCAGAAGATTGCAGTGCTCGGAACAGCTAAGATCCTATGCAGAACACTCATACTAGAGGACCCGAGATTAAGGAAGACAGAGACTAACCATGTTGGTGGAAAGGATTTTTTTTGATTAATGAATTTGAAGCATATAATGTTCTTTTTTAAAAATAACAATACCCACTCATTAATCTATTGAATTAAAATTGCAGTTCTTGACTCCATTTACTAAATAAGTAATAAACATGCTTTCAGTAATGAATTTAGTATCACATATAGTTTTGCCTCTGAAATTTAAAAAACAATTAAAACATTTTATGCGGTAAGTGTTTAGTAATTACAAGTAATATATTTCAAATGGATAATTATTCTAAATAAATAATTTTTCTGAATTATCACGAACAGATCAGAGATTGGTCATTTAATAGTATCACATCATATGTTTGACAGTTTATGTCAGTTGGATTTACATGTTCACTTTGCTCGTTTCAAGGGAATAAAACCATGGTTTTGTACATTTTAGCAATCTATAAATATAGCACTTTGCCTGGAAGACTGAATGCTATGTAATTATTTGTTATATTTCTTTCTGACTGCAATCAAATAAGTCTCTTTCTGGTTTTATCCAGTAGCATTCTCAACATTTGGATTCAGTTCACATCAGAAATCCCATTATAATAAGAGTGAGGGTACTTTTTTCCTTGTGAAAATCTGAAGCCTTATCAAGAATATCTTCTAAAATTTTTCTTCTACAATAGCATATCAATATACACAGGATCTTACCATCATGGTTAGAATTTCCCAGTGTCCATGGCTCATCTGAGTCAAAATGAGTATCACCTCCTATTCCTGGTCCAGGAAAATAAGCATGAGCTAGAAATCCACCCTCCCCATCAAAAGGAGAGCTATCTCCATGGAAACCAGAAGCAAAAAATATCATGATATCTGCCTCTTTTCTGTCACTTTTTATTTCATGGTAAGGAACTTCTTCAAAGGTAAGTGGAGTCACTCTCTGCCAAACATCAAATGCTTGTCGGATGGCTTTCCTTGTATCAAGTTCTCCAACCTTGGGGGTGTAGTTGTGCACACTGTAAGAAGGAGAAGAAGAAGAAGAGCTTATTTAAAACTTATAAAGGATTGCTTTCTTACATGATCAACTTTCATTCAAGTTTTGGATTAATACAATTGCAACATTAAATTTGGTAACTTTTAATACTGTTTGAAAGTATTTCAGGTATGTATTAACAGTTTTATAATGTTTCTTATCTAGGTTAATGTAAAAAAGCCTATATGAAATATGGCACTGAATTTCTATTCAATAATTTAAAGAGGTGTGAACTTCAAATCCCGCACTGGCTGGGAAATTCAGGTAGTTAACCTCCATACATCTTAAAGTTACCAGGCTTGAAAAACACTGGACTAAATCAATAAGGTTGAAAGGTACCTAAGGATTCAAGTCTAAAACTTTTGGAAGATACAAGGCTGGTCAGCAAAATTACCACAATGCTCAGCCTTCCACATATTTACTGCAGAATCTGGGAATAATATTGGGTTCCTTGTATGGATAAGCATAACTGATTCAGACCTTTAATTGACCTATTCATATGAGGGGGGTGGAAAGAGAATAAATGGCACTTATAAAAGTAGTCACAGAAAACTAGAAATTTGTGAAATGTTTTTAATTCAAACCATTTCAAATCCATAAATATAATATTGAACATAAAATATTCTATTAGAAACATATACCACAGAACTGTTTTCGTCAACTTTTATCTAATAGCTTTTATCTGTCTGTCCATACTTAATTGTATCGAAAAGATATATCGTGATGTTGAGAATAATATGGAGATGGCAGAAAGATGTTAAATTATTTGTTAGCATTAGATAATCATATTCATACTGGAGTATCTATAACATCTTCTAGATAACCAAGTACATGCCATAGATATTTTAGTGAATTCCAGTGCTTCAATTGTAACTTTAAGTTATTCAGCAACTGGACTCTGGCCATCAAATATTTCCTGTAAATCTAAATACTCACAGCACACCAGAAAGACTGGGGTTAAAGCATAATAAAATTATGCATATTGATTATGTCCCAGAACATTCCAGGGAGGAATTGGCAACTCTGTATGGAGTTACCATATAGAGGTCTTCAAAGGGATTTAACATCATTAAGGGATTTTAACACCACTATACAGCAGACTAACATTAAGTTGCCATATGGCTAACTGCAATTCTTAACAACAGTACCTCCTCATTCGTGTTTTCAAAAAATAGTGAGTATGCGTTGAGAGGCATACTGTTTTTGACATACATACATACATACATACTGTACATACATGCATATATACCTATACTACTATACTTCCTTTTGGAGTAAACAGGGTTATGTAGAAAACATAAAACAATAAAGAAATGCAGTAATAAACCAAACAAACCAAAGTAATCTGATCCATCTCTTCACTGTGTTACTAAAACCTTTTTATAAAAAGTGTAACTGTCTTTCATATTAGAATTCCTAAACAAATATTGTCCTACATTTTCGTACATGGATTGTTATCTGTGGTGGAATCAATGACTGAAAAGAAGGAGGCTTTGGTAGAAGGAGTTAAGAGATATTCCAGTTTGGACCCCATAAAATGGAGGGACCACTTGCAATCAAACACTTAGGACTATCTCAGGCTTTCTCAAAGGAAGGCAGACAGTCTGGTGAGATTGTTGTAAACAATAAAGAAATCTCTTGACCTAAACCTCGGAGCTATTCTGGTTGCTTGGGTCTGGCATTTATCTTATAATGGAGAAGGAGATGCACACTCCAATGAATATACTACGAGTTTTATCACTGGAATGTATATTCCCAGAAGGGTCAGAGTAAAAACAATTTATTGAATAAGAAAATGATAAATACCCTCCAGTATTCTTCCCAAAAAACTAAACAGACATTTACAACCAGGACAGTGTCAACATGATACTGGAGGAGGAACCCTCCAGCTGTCTCTTGATTCACTGAAAATAACTGAATAAAGGCTGAAAGCAAAAGGCAACACAGAGAGAAGAAAATTTGCCCAGCTAAATATTATATTCACGAGAAAAGCAAATAGTTGTATATTATAAGCATTGCAAGGAAATTGAGGATAATAATGGAATGGAAAGGCCAAGAGATTTAGCTTATGCACAAGAGACAAAGTCCTATCATGCTTGGCCAATAAAGAATTCTATTTCTTATTTCCTAAGAAAATCACAGAAATCAAGGAAACCTTTATGCAACGATAGGTACAACATAAAACAAATAGGACTAAAAGAAAGACGAGATCATGTAAATATGAAGAATAATTATTTTTAAAATTCCTAAATCAAAAATAAATGTGACCATTGAACTAGAGAGTGATAGTCAGGAAAATGAAGTTACATGGGCCCTTGAAAACATCACTAGCAACAAAGCTGCAGGAGTTGATGAAATAGTAGCAAAGCTGTTTAAAACCTTACAAGATGATGCAGTTAAAGTATTTCATGGTTCATAAGCAAATACAGAAAATATAGCAATAGCCAAGAAATGATCCATTTTTATTCCAATATTCCAATATTTAAAAAAAAATAGTGCCAAAGGAAGCTCAAGCTATTTAACTACCATAGTATGGCTCTCTCCCTTGCCTGAAGACAATGATAGAAATTTTGCTACTGATATTTCAACAATAAGCCTAATTTAAGAGGCAGGAGCATCAAAGACCACATTGCTAACATCTGATGAACAACAGAAAAGAAAAGAAGGTTCTTAAAATATGCTAATTTTTGCTTTATTGATTATATGAAGGGGGATAATTATAGATAGTCCTAAAACATACGGATGCATCAGGCCATCCCATTGATCTATTGAATAATTTGCATGATAATCAGGAAGCAACAGTTAGAATGGAATATGAGGCAACTAAATTATTCACAATTGGGGAAGGAATGCTACAGTTTTATACTGTCACCTTGTTTAATTAAGTTATATGCAGAATACATGCTGGACTAGAAGTAATTTAGCATTAATATTGCAAGGAGAAATAACAGTTCCAAATATACTGATGTTGCTTTGCTAATAGACATGAGGAAGGCTTAAGGAATCTCTTGTTGAAGGTTAACGTGAAAGAAGAGAATGCAAAAGCTACTCTAATGCTTACTATATATACATATTATATAAATATTAAAAAAACTAAGTTATGTCACTAATCAATGTCAATTCAATGCAAATAGAAAAAGGGGGAGAAGGAAGAAAAAGATTAGCAGTAGTTAAAACAGTAACAGATTTTATCTTCCGAGGCTCAAAATTTCACAGGGATGATGAAAGAAACAAGACATCTGCTACTTGGAAGAAGGCTACAAGAAGCCTAGACAAATGAAAATAGAACCCAATGACAAACAAAGTATGTATTATCAGATCTATGTTTTTCTTAGTTATTACAAATGACTGTGAAAGCTGAATTGTCAGAAAGGTTGAAAAATCAAAAGGATACCTTCGAATTGTAATGCTAGAAAATATCTTGGACCTGAAGAAAAAACATATGGTTCAGTTATAGCAGATGTAACTGCAGATCCTTCACTGGAAGAACTAACTATGAAGCTAAAGCTTAAATATTTTGGACACTTAATATAAAAGCTGGAGAAACCCCTGATACTTTAAAGCAATCAGAAAAGAGACTGACAAAAGACAAAGTGGCTAGCTACTGATAACACTGATAACTGATAAACGGTCAAAAAATCAAGTAATAAATAAACAGGGTGATATTATGTCCATTGAGTTATAAACTGAACAACAGTACTCTGTACTGTTTTTCCAAACACTTCTAAAACTATCTAAATTGGCAACTTTAACTATGCAAAAATAAATATTTCATCTTGTCTTTTTTGAATATCCAACCAGTTCAATGGCACAGTCCTAAATGTGAACTTTGTTGACAGCTTTCACTCCTGGAATTGAGAGCAAGTCACTGGTCTCTCCACCCTTCCTTCTTAGTGGATGCTGCTTGACTAAATCTGAATTTTTATTGCAGACAAGAGGGATGCCACCCTCACAATAACTGATTGTGCACTGCTGTGCAAAGATGTTTGGGACTTCTATATATTTTCAAGGTTTTAACTCAATACTTTTTTTCTTCTTCTGAATGAACAGACTTCAAGTGGTGCTGAGGGTCCTTGAAGGCAAGTGGTTTTAGTATGTTTATTTAATGGTTCTTGCTTGCTTGCGAGTGACTGGTTCCCATGTTGCAACAACATGTTGTTGGGGGTGGGGAGGCTTCTCCTTAGCTACTTATTATATATCATACTTAATAGCATATGCCTTTATCTTGGTCTCACATAAATTGTCATAAAGTGCAAAGTTTAAAATTGTAACATGTCCTCATTGGATAGCTACTTCAGCCCTTTGATAATCTGTAGTTTTTTCATGAATGTTTTCCAGCTTCAACAGATAATTTCATACACTCAGAAGATCGTTCACTCCTAGCACTAATGGGATTGGTTAATCTCAGTTAAATCTAAGGTAATACTGAAACAAAATTCTGTCTTTGTTATATATTTTGGGACTAAAATATATATAGCCATTTACAAATACCCATCATTTAGATCAGTGTTCCTCAACCTCAGCAATTTCAAGATGTGTGGACTTCAATTCTCAGAATTCTCCAACTAGCATGCTGAGCCTATTGATTTAGATCAGGGGTGGGCAACTATGGTCCCTTTATGTGGACTTCAATTCCCAGAATTCTTGAGACAGCCATGCTGGCTCAGGAATTCTGAGAGTTGAAGTCCACAGGTTGTAAAGGGACATAGTTGCCCGACCCTGGTTTAGATAGATTGACATGTAGCATTTTCCCTGAAGGACACTTGGTACTGTAATCAGTTCTATCTTGCAAATCTAGAATAAATTAAGAGAAAACAGCTACCTTTGAGTTATATTTAGAAAGAATAACATGTCAGACACTAAATCAAAGATAGCAAAAATAAAAGATTAAAGAGCTTTAAAAAGAAAAGGAAGAGTCACATTGTGACATTGTCTTTTGAACAAAATCAGTTGATCAAACCTGATCTTCAAGCTTTTACTAATTATGACAACAGCACATATCATGATGATATGTTACCAAAGCAATCTTCTTTCAACAGTAGATGACTGAATAATAACTGAATACTCATATAGCTTACTCACTTTTATTTCCAACATCAAACAGCTTTAAAAAAATCTTATAGTAAGTAAGATATAAAGATCTCTACCACTGTTCCCTAAACATGTACATTCTACCTTTTATGCAACTTGCAAAATTTCACAAAACCCATGTTGAAAACCAATTTGTGAGGGAAATTTTCTTTACAAAAATAAATTTAAAATATTTTCCAGACTGCTATCCTCAAATCAATTTACAGTAGGAATCACACAAATTCAATTAAAAATGTATAATCAGGTAATTTAAATATAGTAAACTAGTTAACTAAACGAATAACAACATAAAATCTTTGACCAAAAAAAGCAAAAAGATCAATGCATTCTCTAAAAGCTTTCATTTAAAAAGTAGATAAAATAAAACCATTTTGAAGCTTACTTTAAAACAAGAACCAACAGAACTTGCTGAAAGTTGCTCAGAAGACAACCCTTAAAATTCTCTCTCTCTCACACACACACACACACACACAGAGAGAGAGAGAGAGAGAGAGAGAGAGGGAGGGAGGGAGGGAGAGAGAGATATCATAAAGATCTTAAGAAACACATGCACATATATCAGGACAGCCTTTCAAATACTTAGAACTATACCATGTAGAATTTTAAAGGTTAAAAGTTTCTCCTAATCATTTAAATACAGTAGTTTGGGTGATCCAAAAGTTTTTTCTCTAATTGTATTTCTATCTCTTATTCTTAGTGGTTATAGAATCCATCTGGAAAAAAGAAAACTGAGTTCTAGTCTTGTCTTATAAGCATGAAAGTTGACTCTCAGCTCAATCCAACCCAATTCACAGGGTTGTTATTGTGGGAAAAATAGAAGTATTAGGTATGTTAGCCGCCTTGAGTTATTTAGGAAAACAATAAAGATAGGAAACAAACAAACAAATATATCCAAGTATTAAGCAATCCTGGGTTCAAATGCCCCATTTTAAAATTTAGTTTTCCACTGTTTTGAGCAAAAAGCACTATCAATATGGTTGAAACAGTCAAATTTGCATTTGGAATAGTTGTCTTCTACTCAACAAATGCATTTTTACACTAAAAAAATTGAATACATTTTATTTAAGACCAGGAAAGGGAGAAAGACACAATCATTCAGTAGCAATTGGGACATTAGCTGGGTAAATTGCCTCTCTCAAATTATAATTGTATGAGAGAAGGCAGCAAAAATTTGCATTGAATTCACATGGTCTAAATGAACATAAAATGCATAAATTTACCTATCATAGTATTTAACTGATACTTCGGCTCTCCCTTGTATAGCACGCAAGCATCTTGACTAATTACTTCAAAAGCCATGAAACAGACATAGCAAAATAGGCAAATGAAATGTGATCCACATGAATATACATTATTTGTTATTCTTCCTCTTTTTCTTACATGTTTACTATTTAATTATATATTGATTTTAATTACAGTCCTAAAAAGACTCCAAGTAACACTACTAATCTTTATGTAGAAGAATATCTGAAACTTTCTTTTAATGAAAGCTAAATTTAGAAAAACTAAAGCTTTTAAAAATGCACTTTTTGAAAAGGCTATGTCACCAAACTGAAGTGTTACTTCCATAAAATAGCTCACAGGAAACCACAATAAAAAAAATATACTTCAAGTTTCCAGATGTATTGGAACTATACTTCCTAGAATTCCCTGTCAAGTTTCCCCTCAAGCAAGGAATATGAACTAATGACAAGGCTGGTGGCTGTACATAATATTTAAAGCATAAACTCCATTAAGGTTTTTAATATATTGGATTATACCTGTAGGTAATATGCTTCTGCCTCCATTTTTGTCCAGTAAGTGCATATCGCTTAATCCTTCGTCTATGGCTTAGATGGGGATGATCAGGAACACCACAGCGAGGTTTCTTCATCCACCTAGAAAGTAAAAAGATTCCTGATGAGTCAGGAATATATGGTACAAAAATAGGGCTTTGGGCCATTTCAGCCTGGTTGGTTGGTGTAGTTGAAAATAGATCACCAGTCAATTTAGACATGCTTGCTTGCCTACCTGTTGGTCAAGGTAAGGGCTGAGACTAAATTCTGGCCAGTCTAGAGAATGTGTACCAAAATAGATTAAAATGGCAATTCTGAAGTAGGTTAGAGAAGTAAGTTTGAGCTTTGGAGCTAGTTAGTTTGGCACAGACTACAAGGTAGCAGCTATGCTCAAAATTTCTCCCTCCAAAAAGAAAGTGAAAAATTCCATCTCTGGAACTTCAACTGTGTGTGGCAGTAGAGAGCTTTGCTTCATTGTATATAATTATTAAATTTATAATTTTATAATACTTTCAGATAGATAAACAGCCAGTCCATAATGGGCTTTCTCTCCATAATGGATTTTCAGTGGATGAAACTATGGGGAAAATAGGAAAGTTGTAACAGAAGGTAATGGAAACTGGGTTCTCTAAAAAAAAAAATTGAGATTGTGGATTGCACAGTAAAAGCATTATTTCTGCTGACACCATCAATTCACAGGTGGAAATGAAAAAAAAGACTTGTGCAAACCAGGTTCCATGCACATAGTTCTTCTTTGTACAGATAATCCTTGCTTAATGATCATTTGTTTTGCAACTGCTCAAAGTTATGATGGTGCTAAAAAATCAACTTGCACTCACACTTATGACAGTCAGTGTCCCTGCAGTCACGTAATCACAATTCAGGCATTCAGCAACTGTCATGCATTTATAAGAGTTGCAGCATCTTACAATCATATGATCACCATTTGGGACCTTCCCAACTGTCTTCGGATAAGCAAGTGAGTGGAGGAAGCCAGCAGGAGGATGCAATTGTATACGGTATCTTACTTAAGGACCACAACTGGGATTGTCGGAACTGCTGTTGCTAAGCGGGGCTGTTGTGTGATGTTTTGTTTAATGACTACTTCACTTAGTGATGAAGTTGCTGGTCCCAATTAAGGTCATTAAGCAAGGACTACTTTTATATAGAATGACTATAGTATACGACCGTAATACCTGTACACATATACAATAACATTTAAAACCTATGAATAGCCATCAAGGTAGCGCCATTACATACAACATATAATTTCTATTGCCATTTTATCTGATGACCTATGCAGTATCTGCTAAATCAATTGTTAAATCAGTACAAATCCTTGGATGAATTCTTTGAGATGTGAAGTTAATTACCTCTGCCTATTCTGAGAACTCTGGGAGTTGAAGTCCTCTCATCTTAAAATTGCCAAGGTTGAGAATGTTGATCTAAGTGATGAAAGAGGCACGGTTGGCAATCTGACTCAGATTTCAGACCATATTCATTCTTAGAGAATATGCATATGCCAAGTAAATTTATTAGGCTCACATTTTAAAGTTTCATGATGCTATAGATCAGGGGTGGGCAAATATGGCCCCTTTATGACCTGTGGACTTCAACTCCCAGAATTCCTGAGCCAGCTTGGCTGTCTCAGGAATTCTGGGAATTGAAGTCCACAGGTTGTAAAAAGGCCACAGTTGTCCATCTCTGCTATAGATAATGATCTGGGCAAGAACATTATTTTCCAGTATCTGCAAAAATCATTCTTACTCAATAGTGGTGTGATCCAACACTCCTGTTACAGGGATGCCATAAAACTGCTGCATAGTGGTGACTGCAGACTGCATAACTTTTCCTGAGAGCAGAGCAGACATTCTTGTATCAGATGGAAGCAGATAACCGTAGGTTTTTAACCAACTCTGAAAAATAAGACAAAGGAAACCCAGATTTAAAACACAGCCCAATTTAACAGTATATATATAATATATATATATATAAAATTGGCTTGTTTCCTTTTTAGTTGAAACGTGAATTCACAATTGTTGATATATTCACCTTTCTTGCTCTTTCTAATATATGAGGATAACCATAGGACAACAAGAATAATTGCAAAAGGCAATGTTATCCTACCAACTTTGCAGGTGTTGTTAACTTTCTGGTTATGTGTGCAAATTTAGATATTTTATCAGAACACAATTCTCAGCTCAGTTGCTATGCTTATTTTATGCATAAAAATATGATTGACTACAGATTCAGTTTGTCCAACATTTTTCCAAATATAAAGTCTCCTAAGAGAGCGTTTCACATATTGTGGCTTCTATATTGTGGTTTGGCTAAGGAACATCAGCACTAAGAAGGCATACTAGATCAAACCAAAGGTATGATATGACCGAAGATGTGACAAAAATGGAAACAATGGATTGAAATATGAATATTCAAAATCATTTAAGACTATATTCAAGAGCCAGTTTGATATAGTACAGTGTTTCTCGACCTTGGCAATTTTAAGATGGATGGATTTCAACTCCCAGAATTGCTGACAACTTAAAGTTCAGACAACTTACAGTTGCTAAGGTTGAGAAACACTGATATTGTGATTAAGGATACTCAGCTAGAAACCAACTGACTCTGGGCCAGTTACTGTCTCAGCTCTAGGAATAAGGCAATGGCAAACTACTTCTGCAAATATTGCTAAGGAATGAGTTTTTTTAAAGGAAAGCTTGCAAGATGAGCGAGGGACCCTTAATTTTTCCCAGTCCTGTGCCATATCTCCCTACAGATATCTCCCAAATTGCTCTCTCTCTCTCTCTCAGAAAGCCCAGGTTTCAACAAATGTCTGGATAAATGAAGGTAGGATGATAATCTACGTAACAGATAAATGTGATTTTCCCACTAATGCACTTATATTCTCTTAAACTCACCCCATCTGCATTTTATATCAACCCCCCCCATTTTATAATATGAAGTCATTGTCTGGTCAAGTGTATGACTTCAATCATTCAAAATTGGTAATAGTACAGAAGAAATGGCAACTATAATCCAGTGTTATCTTTTTCAAGATTCCAGGGATGGAAGAAAGCCCATTCTATTCCTCCCAAATTTCTATTACTTCCTTTGCACCAGCAATGCCAATAGCATGCCATCCATTGATCATATCTATTCCACACTGGGAAGATTCTGAAACCTTTGCACCAATCCAAATTTTCTCCATCCCTTTCTCCAACAACACTTTTATGTTTCTGAAAATCTTGGGAATTTCTCAAGCTTGGTAATACCTTCTACCTATACACGAATGATGCCATTTTGACTGCATCAAACCTGGTGTGAGAACTTAGCAATTTTAATTAATTGATACCATTACCTAGGTATTCTATAAAAAGCATCACCAGCATAAAATATACAGTAGTTGCAAATCCTTGTATTGGATTGGTTGCAGGTCTGTCAAGCATTGAGAAAGACCACAAGTTAAATAAATCCAACATATTTCTCACTAAACTAGTGTAAAATAAGAGGTTGATAGAACATTAAGGGATTTTATCAATGACCTGCTTATATACTTCCTTATCTGCCTCTTAGTAGCAAGCAGATGCACTCGTAGGAGGAGAAAATCTGTCCTGACTAATCACATGTCAAGGTAAGGGATATTTTTACTTAGATTTGAAAAAAACATTTTAAGCTACACCATAATACCATATGATAAATCACTCATGACCCTTATTAGAATGTATTTTAAAAAAGCGCAAAATAACCCTTATGGACTTAACAAAATCAGGTGATGCATATGTAACTTCAAAAATAATTTTTTGGTATACTGGTTACCAGATCTGCATGTAAACTCCAGATACCCACCAGACAGCAGCAAAGAGATGCAAAAACTTCAAACTCTTGTCATTTTTGCAACTTAGAGATTTCAGCAGTACTGAAGGACTGAGATTAAAAAAGTCTAGAGATGAGCTGTCTTGCTTCATATTGTAGCTTCCTTAGCCTCAATTTGGACCACAAGAATAAAAAACAAGAACTGACTAGGAAGATCACAATAATCATGGTTTTATCAAGAATATCTGGGTTTTGGCTATTGTGTTTAATATCCATGCTTTGATATACCTGCTAAGAAAAAAGATATACTTAAAATTAAATTACAAAGGTGACAGCAAAAGTAGTCCTTTCAACTACAAAAAAATCTTTAGTTGCAGCTGAGGAAAAGATACAGATTCTAACACCTCTTGCTTTGCCATCAAATTCGACTGGTCTTCAATAAATAATACAAATTCCCTAAATAACTGACAGTAATGAAACAATTACTCATTAATAAGTACAATTTAAAAATATATATTTGTGTGTTTTTAATGGTCCTGGAATAAAAACTAAGTAATCCAATTTTAAGCAAAATATTTCAGTCATTGCTTAAGTAATAAGTTCAAGATTTCTAAGGTTTCAAGGGGAAATGTTGAATATTCAGTACAGTAGAGTTTTGCATTTTCGGATTTTTTGTCACTGACTATTAACAGAAATTCATATCTTTTAAAGAATGAACAAATAACATCACACATTGAAGCTTGACTAATATAGTTCATGAACAAAAGCATCACGGATACCAATTCTTCCTATACTCCCTGAGATAGTTGTATATCTTCCTATAGAGGAAGATAAGGGAACAGGGATATCAAACTCAAAGCCCAGGAACAGGATACGGTCCGCGGAGTGCTTAGATCTGGCCTGAGGGCCCCCCCTGGAAATAGCGAAGGACTAGCCCGCAGTGCCTCTACCAGTGAAAACGGAGCTCCGGAGAGCTGCGTGCAGCCCTCCTGAGCTCCGTTTTCACTAGCAGAGGGTTGCAGGAGGTTGTCGCAGCCGAAAACAGAGCTCGGGAGCCCGTTTTTACTGGCAGAGCACTCAAGTCACCACAGGCACCCTGGACACAAGTGACATCGAGCTGTCCACATCCACCCTGGCCACGCCCGCCCTGACCCCCAAGGCCAAACACAACCCTGATGCGGCCCTCAATGAAATTGAGTTTGACACCCCTGACCTAGAAGATCAAACTTCTACAGATAAATGTAGATACAATTATAAGAATATCTAAAAACTGTCCATGAATATTAAATCAAAGAAAAGAGCATCAGTCTACTTTAGTTATTTGTAGTCAATCCCCCATTAATTTGTTCCAAAAAGCCAGAACTCTTTAACTTATAAACACCATCAATCACAAATCAAACTAAAATCCTTTTGCCAGTATTGTAACAATGCCACTACATTACATTAACAAAATATATGTTCTGCCTAAGCTTAAATGGAGAGATAGACCAATGTGAGGGATCATTTTACACGGGTATCAAACTGTGCCGTGTCACATTGATGTCACGTGACATAGCGCAATGTTTTTTGCCTTTGCAGAGCTGGGGTGGGCGTGGCCTACGTGTAACACATCCGGCCCCCAGGCCACCAGTTTGACACTCCTAGACTAGGAAACCATCTGGAGCCCGAAGAGCTCTACAAGGGCTAGGAAAATATGCCGTTTGCATCTAGTTCTTGCAGGCTAAGTCCAGTTTTTGAGCAGACAGCAAAAGAAGTAACTGTATAGAAACCACAGGAGACCAGTATATTTAACACAAGAATCAGCAAGTTCATTGCCACTGAGAATGGCCTTTCATTTTAATACAGCAGCAGCAGAGGAAAGAATGGCCTAAGTAAACTGGAAACAAATCAGCACTCTGAATCAAAGAACCAGAGGATGTGAGAAACCCATGGTTTTGGCAAAGATGGCCATAGTGATATAGTTTCTAAACAATAACAACTGTCTGTATAAATATTAATAGAGGAACTAGAGGTTAAAAGACAAGCTTAAGTCACAGCATGTAACTCACCAACTTGAGCAGAAACAAAGGGAAGCAAAGAATTTAATTTAACACACATTCAAAAGGAGAACATACCCACATATCCAGCACCATGTTTTCCAGGGTGGCAAGAAGTGACGTAAGTATAAAATTAAAAATCAGCACTTGCAGTAGGGTTTTACTGAATATCAGGGTGAGAAAGAAGTTAATAAGCAATAAAAAAAACTATCATGAGTGGAAAAACTTTCAGCAGAAGATAGGGTACTGGTAGTTCTCAACTTATGACCACAGTTGAGCCCCAAATTTCTATTGCTGAGCAAGACAGTTGTTAAGTGAATTTGCCCCCATTTTACGACTTTACTACTTTATGCCACAGTTGTTAAGTTAATCAATGCAGTTGTTAAATTAATAATACTTAACAATTGAATCTGGCTTCTGACTTTCCTTTTCTGAAGGTCACAAAAGGTGAGCACCTGACCCTGGGGACACTACAACCATCATAAATACATGTCAGTTGCCAAATGTCCGAATTTTGATCATATGACCACAGGATGCGACAACTGTCATAAGTGTGAAAAAATGTTGTAATACACTTTTTTTAGTGCTATTATAACTTCGTATAGAATAGAATAGAATAGAATTCTTTATTGGCCAAGTGTGATTGGACACACAAGGAATTTGTCTTGGTGCATACGCTCTCATTGTACATAAAAGAAAAGATACGTTCATCAAGAATCATAAGGTACAACACTTAATGATAGTCATAGGGTACAAATAAGCAATCAGGAAACAATATCAATATAAATCGTAAGGATATAGTCACTAAATGAATAGTTGTAAGTTGAGGATGTAAATGGAAGGTAGGATCTTGGAAGGAAGAATTAATAACAGTAACAATGGGAGAGTTTAGGAGTGCTATTTCCAATTTGCTCAGCTGTTGGGGAGTGATAAGATAGAAGCCTACCACCACAGGGGGAAGCCTATATGTTTAGACAGATCCCCTAAGAAGTTCAGAGAATTTGTCCATTAAAAAGGTCACAGCTTGAACAGCACAAAGATGGAAAGGTGGAAAGGCAGCAGCGATC